TGTCTGTCTGTCTGTCTGTGTCTGTCTCTCTGTGTCTCTGCCTCTCTCCCTCTCTCCCTCAGCCTCCGCCGTGGCTAGAATGACCAGCCGAGAGGGGCGGGGCTCGGCGGCCGCGTGGAGGCCCCGGGGTGGCTCGGGCGGCGCGGACGGCGGCCCCGGGCCCTCGGGCCCCACCCGGCACCTGGGCCGGCTGCCGCCCCTCCCCGGTCCCGGCGGCCGGCCGTGAACTCCAGCGCTGGCGCAGGTGGATCCCGCGGAGCCGCGCCCGGGGCGGGGCGGGGCGGCGCGGGGCGGCGCGGGGCGGCTCCCCAGCCTCCCCCGTCCTCCCCCGCCCCGCACGGCCCCGCCCCCGCCGCCCCGCCCCGCACGGCCCCGCCCCGCCCCGGCCGCCCCGCCCCGCATGGCGCCCCGCCGCCGCCCTGTACTCGCTCTTGTTTGAAAACGGCAGAGGCTCGGGCCGTGCGGGTTGGCGGCAGATTTGCATGGTCGTCTTCCAGCCCACTCTGCCGGGGGGCGGGGGGGGGCCGGGGGGAGACGATGGGGGAAGGCTTGGAGGCCCTCCGCCCTCTACACCGCCACCCCGGCCTGGAGGGCCCCGATCCCCCACACACACCCCGGCCTGGACAGCCCCGACCCCCCACACACAGCCTGGCCTAGACTGCCCCGACTCCCCACACACAGCCCGGCCTAGACTGCCCCGCCCCCTCCCCCCCCCCCCCCCCCCGCCGCCTGAACGGCCCCGACCCCGCCTGGACCCCCCCCCGGACCCCCCCCACCCCACACCCCGGCCTTGACGGCCAGATCCCCCACACCCCGGCTTGGACCGCCCCGAACCTCCCCCCTGCAGCCTGGACCGCCCCGACCTCCCCCCCTGCAGCCTGGACCGCCCCGACCCCCCCACCCCACACCCCGGCCTTGACGGCCAGACCCCCCCACACCCCGGCTTGGACGGCCCTGACCCGCCCACCCCGACCCCGCCTGGACGGCCCCGACCCCCTCATCCCTACCCCCACCCCCACCCCCTCGTGAACGCAGGCCTGCATCAGTGCTGCCCTTGGCGGCCCTCCAGTGGGCCTGCTTCCCTGCACCGTCTCGGCTGACCGGGGTTGACCGTGCCGGGCCCTTCACATCCTACGGTCATCTAATTGGGCCCCGGGCTTACCTGGGCTGGGCACAGCAGGCACACCCTAACCCCAGCTGCCCAGAAGGGTTGGAGGCCTGCAAAGCTAGCAAGACCTAGCAAAAGAAGTACCAAACAGCTGTAGGCTCTCACCTGCAACCCCAGCTACTCAGGAGGCTGAGATCCCAGGATCAAGGATCAAAGCCAGCCCGGTCAGGAAAGTCCCTGAAACTCTAGCTCCATTTAATTACCAGAAAACCGGAAGTGGCGCTGTGGCTCAAAGTGGGTTGCCTTGAGCACAAAAGCTCAGGGACTGCGCCCAGACCCCAAGTTCAAGAGCCACAACCAACAACATTCAAAAAAGTGCCAAACAAAAGTGTTAGGGGTATGGCTCACGTGGTGTAGTACCCTTTCAGCCTGAGGTCCTGGGTCCGGTCCCCACTACTGGGAGACTGGGGTGGGTGGGACAGGAAAAAGAAACTACTCAGAGTCTGTTTGTCTGAGATACTGACAGGGAAAGAACTCCAACTCTACCCAGGAACCCTGACCTGCGGGACTGCCCTTTGGGAGCAGAGGAGCTGGGCCTGACTGCCCCAGCCGTGATGTCTACCTAGAATGGGGCTTTTTCCCTTTCCCTGGCCAGGGCGGGAGTAGAAGCCAGGGCCAGCCTCGAGAGCTTCTCAGGTGGAAAGGGAGAACTTGAGGAGGAGAGCAATAGGGCACCCAGCGGGGGAAGGCCTCTGGTTGGTCTCCCGACGCCCATTCTCAAGGTTCAAGGTTTGGGGCTGCTACAGGACAAGTATGCGTTCAGCCCCAGGCGTACTCTCCCAGGTGCTTTCCTCAGGCCCTGGTCAAACCTTGTTCACAGAGAGCCCTTTAGTGAAGGTCATAGAGGACCAGTGACGGTTCCACAGGGATGGTGAGGGAGGGCATCTGAGGAATGGACAGGAATCTCCTAGATCTCTGAGGCAAGATGTTTTGTTTGTTTGTTTGTGGGGAATCTGTCGTGGGGCCTGAACTCTGGGCCTAGGCACTCATTGCCCCTCAGCTCTTCAGCTCAAGGCAAGCACTCTACCACTTGAGCCACAGCGCCACTTCCAGTTTTCGGGTGGTTTATTGGAGATAAGAGTCTCATGGACTTTCCTGCCCAGGCTGGCTTTGACTGTGATCCTCAGCTCTCAGCCTCCTGAGTAGCTAGGATTACAATAGGCGCCCGGCTTAGGATCTATTATTATTCCCAACCTACACATGGGAAGCTGAAGCACAAAGCCTCTTCGTAAATAGTGTGCACAGTCCAGCCAGAAAGTGGCAGGGCTGGGATTTATATATTTATTTTTAATGAAATTTATTTTATTTATTTTTTCGGTCCAGTCGTGGGGCCTGAACTCTAGGCCTGGGCACTGACCCTCAGCTCTTCAGCTCAAGGCTAGCGCTCTACCACTTGAGCCACAGCGCCACTTCAGGCCTTTTTCTTTTTGCTTATGTGGTGCTGAGGAATCAAACCCAGGGCCTCATGCATGCAAGGCAAGCGCTCTACCACTGAGCCACCTTCCCAGCCCCAGGGCTGAGATTTAAACCCAGCAGTCTGGCTGCAGAGCCGGAGTCTTGGGGATCTGGGACTGAGGTGGGGACACAGCCACTTGGGCCAGGTGTTGGGGGTGGTTTGCTGTTGTTTAGGATCATGGACATTCAGGAGAGAAGTCTTCATCTGGGGTACGGGAGGGACACTCCTGGGAGCAGAAGATGACAGGATGGAAGCAGTAGGCCAGGGCTTGGCAGGACCCTGGCTTTATTGTCTAGGAAGCTTTGAGCCAGAGGATCCTGATGGTTGGGAGACATGGCAGCAGGGAACAGCCTGCCTCCTGCCTGCAGGAGAGTCTGGTGGTGGGCCCTGCCTAGTCAGTGGGTCATTTGGTCAGGCCTCTGTGCAGTGTGGCCCTGAGGGCAGGCCTGGTGGAGGTGGACATGAGGGAAAGTTTGGCCTGCCTGCCTGTGGCTGACTCCCCAGTGAGCTGGGCCCAGCCCATCTTCCATGAGAAGTTGGGGGAGGGGGCCTGAGGGAGCAGCCCCTAAAGACATAGAAGCTGTGAGGTAACAGTGGCCGAGAATGTCCATGGGCTGCAGGCTTTCTCAGGGGCTGTTTCTTCCCAGGAAGGCCTGGCTCTGCCCTGTGGTCTTGCAGCTGCTGCAGTTTAGAAGAGCTTGTCTCACCAAGGCTGTGCTTACTACAGAGGGAAGGGATGCCCTCTGTCCCATGCCTGTCCCTTGCCCCTTGTATCTCGAGCACCCCAACCCTTGGGCAGGTTAACCCTTTCCCGCTCAGCCTCACTCACTGCACATTGGTGGCTGTCTTGCCCCTGCTGGCCAGCCTGTGTCCTGTGCTGTAGGTAGGTGGGGACTGTGAAGGGACTCTGCCACATGGGACACAGGGCGGGTCCTGGCGAGGTGGACAGGGCCCTGGGTTCGGAGAGAAGGTGTCAGGGTGCTTTACCAGCCCAGAAAAGCTATGAGCAGAGCTGTAGGGCCCAGACTAAGGCGTGAGGCCCAAGTCTTAGAGCAGAGCAGAGCCAAAGAATGTGGGCTGAGGAAAGGCAATAGGCCTTTTTTTCTCCCTTCCAGTCATGGGGCTGGAACTCTGGGCTGGAGTGCTGTCCCCAGACTCCTTTTGCTCAAGGCCAGCACTCTACCACTTGAGCCATACAGCACCACTTCCGGCTTTTTCTGTGATTAATTGGAGATGAGTCTCATGGGCTGGCTTTGAACGGCAGTCCTCAGATCTCAGCTTCCTGAGTAGCTAGGATTACAGGTGTGAGCCACCAGCACCCAGCCCAGCCGCAGTAGGCTTTAGATACATCATTTTTTTTAAATTTTGGGCAAGTAATAATCGGATACATTCTTAAACTTGCTATTAACAAATAGCAAGTAAAGTAATTAGCCATCTCCCAAAGTTCACTACTATTTCATGCTGGGTTGAAGGCTCCAAGGTCAGCATCAACTTGATGGAGGTGGACATGGTAGTCTGCAGGGTCATCACAGACCACACACTTCTATCTACTGTGACATTTTTTCAGTGTCTTGGTTGATGTGTGTGCGTGTGTGTGCGTGTGTGTGCACCGCGCTACATGGTTGCCTAGCAACAACCACTCCTCGGTTGTTCCCTACAGAAACCCAGCTGAGAAGTACCCATGGCCCGTGCTTCCCTATGGGCATGGATGGACTATGTTTCTAGAATGAGAGGATACAATAGCAAGTGCTGCTGTGTGCTACAGTATAACATTCCAGGCTTTTTCAGGAATGGATTAATTTAGTTCCTACACACCCCTGAGGATAATTCACCATTCACTGTCTCCATTTCACAGATGGGGAAGTGAGGCACAGAGGAATTAAGTAACTTTCCAAGGTCACCTAGCTACTAAGAAGTGTGAGGTCAAGAGTATGCCTGTTTTTCAGAAAGCAGTTCTAATCAAAGTAATAAATATGCCTGGTTCTAAAAGGCAGATAGTGCCAAAAGACATAATGGGAAGTAGCATAAGTGGCTGAAATCCTAGATAATCAAGAGCCTGAGATCGTGAGGATCACGGTTCAAAGGAAGATCAAGCCTAGGGCTTGCGCATGCGCACACATACACACATGCACACGGCTACCCTCCACAGGAGAGTTAACAACATTCCAGGCACCTTCTAGAAAGATCAGATGAATGAGTTTGCTTTAGAGTCTGGACTAGAGGATTGGAGGTATCTGAAGAAAAACCATGAGTGAGTTGGAAGTGGGCAAAGGCCAGATGGGATCCTGTGGGCTGTCCTTCCTGACAACAAGGAGCAGAGGAGAGGAGTCAAGGAGGAAGCTGCCCAGGTCACCACTGTCTTCCTTTGCCTCCTAGAGAGTCCTGATGCCAGCCTGGAGCAGAGACTGAGCAGAGCTACTGGATCCTTGGTGAGCAGGTGTCTGGGGCTATACAGAAGGACTACAAATTATCCTCTGTAGGGTCCTTAAGACTCTGGGTACACCCCTTTGTGACCTCTCTCATGCCTGGTCTGGATGGATGGACAAATGATTAGACAGGAGAGCTCAGAGGGCAAGAGTGCCGTACCCAGGCTCAGGGTGACCTTCCTGCCTGTGACCTTGAGACACCCCAGTTCTGTGAGGCCAGGTCTTGCTCACGCGGCTAGATGCCAGGGCACTAGGTTCTAGAATGACAGGGCTGAGATCTAGGGAGGGGGCTGTCCAGACATTTCCGGGCCACTTTGTGTGGCTTTTGGAAAGTGCAGGAGGAAGGCTGTCTAGTGCCTGGAGGAAATCCCCACTAGCCTGCAAGTAGGGGTCTGAGACTTAGTTCAAAACAGGAAGCTCCCGCTTCTGTCCTCCCATTCCAGGAACAGCAGTGGCAGGAAGATCAGCCTGGACCGGCTGCCCTGGAGCGCTGCACTGGGTCAGGTGCTGCCCTTTGCTCTGGGGCCTGGCCAGGCAGGTTGCCCAAGGCCTTGTTTGCCCAGGAAGTAGGGAGAGCCTGCAAAGCCTAGCCTCCTCTGCCTCCTAGATAGATAGCACGGGATTAGCTTTAATCCGTACTCCACAGAGTGGGTTGGGGGCTGCATGGTATCTGGGCTAGTTTTATTATTATTAGCAGAATTTATCAAGTTTTCCTTTACGCCAGTAGATGGTATTGAGCAACTTAGGTGTGTGGTCCTCCAGCTTGGAGAGTTGGGACCCCCCCCCAGGGAGTCGCGAACAACTCTGATTCCTTCCCCTGGTGGTCCCTTTCTCCTTGGATGTTAGCTCCAGGCACAAGAGGGTGTGTCCTGGGGGGGCCTGGTGTGTGATTGGAGAAGGTGCTGACAGTTTTTCTGAAGAGGGCAGACCCAGGCTCCTGGGTTAGTGAGCTCTGGTTCAAGTTCTGGCTTTGAGCCAGAAGAGGGTTGGGGTGAAGGCTGACGGGCCTGCACCAGCCCGAATGGCTCAGCCCCTGTCCACCCACACCCCACCGGCCCCCTCCCTCCACCCTCTCCCCGGCTGAGAACATTCCATTCATTCCAGGTTCCTGGAGCTGCAGGCAACCAGGAAGGGTTTGCTGGCCTTGTGGCCCAGGTGGGACACTGGGTGGATCAGGGGGTGGGGCCAGGCCTAGAGGGCTCCTGGAGACAGTGGTGGTGAGGAGCCCCATGTCCTGCGCCCCCTTAGACAGTGGATTCTTGGGGTCTGGGCTTGTGGGCACTCAGGAAACATGTCTTTGAGGTATACAAGAGAGGCTGCCAGCTTCCAAGCGTTCTGCACAGAACCACACCTGCTGGGGCTGGGCTGCCAGGTTCTGACCCCACCGGTCCTGAGAGCCCCTCCCCCCAAGCCAGTCGCAAGGCCACTTTGCAGAAGGGCCTGAACAGCCGGCCAACTCTTCTAAAGAAAAGCATCCCACCCCTTCCCGCTCCTCTGGACCCACGCCTGCTAGACAAAACTAGAGTCCCAGCCGGGCGCTGGTGGCTCACGCCTGTAATCCTAGCTACTCAGGAGGCTGAGATCTGAGGATCGCGGTTCAAAGCCAGCCCGGGCAGGAGAGACCATGAGACTCCTATCTCCAATAAACCACCAGAAAACCGGAAGTGGCGCTGTAGCTCAAGTGGTAGAACCCTCGCCTTGAGCTGAAGAGCTGAGGGACAGCGCCCAGGCCCAGAGTTCAAGCCCCACGACCGACCAAAAAAAAAAAAAAAAAAACTAGAGTCCCTCTGAGCTCCAGGCCGTCCTCCCCTGATCCCAGCTCTGTACCTCCCTCTACTCCCTGGACTCCCACTTTCTCTGCAGCGGATCGCGCCCCGCATGGCCCAAGGGTAGTAAAAGGCTGGTGAGGTGTTCTTGTCTCAAAGCCAGTCTTCCCCAGCCTGGCCACCTTCATCTTATGAGGCCTGGGGACACCCTGGCTCTTCACTTCCCTTCTCCACACTTCCCATAGGACACATTCTCCTTTGCTTGGCACTGCCTAGCCAATGCTGCCTCCACCAGGGAGTTCAGTGTTCCTGTGCCCACTCTTTTGGACATCTTCCAATTGGCCAGTGGGTGTGCAGGATCATGGGCATGTGGGCTGGGTCAGAAACAAGCAGTCCATCCAGAGCAGGTTTGGTTCTATGCAGAAGTAATAGTTGTCAAGTCACTAAAGTACACGTAGTGCCTCTCCTGTGGGGATGCACGGGCAGAGGCTTTGTCTGCAGAGTGTTTCTTCCCTAGTTAAACTGAGAATAGCAGAGGGAAGCAGAATGGAAATGGAGGATGGCATTGGCCTGGTTGGAGGCCCTCGGGGCCCTGAGCAGAGCAGACACAGTCTCCTGGGGGATGCAAACATGGGGGTGGGGGAGGACAAATAGGAAATGTAGAGGTTCATTTTAAGCTACCATCTCATCCCAACCTACTTAGCCCTAGATGAGTTATTTCCCCCTCTATGCATGAGTTTCTTCACCTGAGAAATAATCCAAAGCAGAAAGTCTATGGGGAGGCTCCTGTCAGTCTAGGTCATTGGACAGTGGAAAAGTTTCTAAATCTTTTTCCTATACTTAAATTTGATGTGCACATGACGCAGGGCCAGCGCTACTCCCTAGCTTTTTCCACTCATGACTGATACTCAGCCACTTGAGCCACAACTCCACTTCTGGCTTTTTGATGGTTAGTTGGAGGTAGAAGTCTCTCAGATTTGTCTGTCAGGGCTGGTTTCAAATCTCCGATCTTAGCTCTCTGAGTAGCTAGGATTGTAGGCATGAGCCACCAACAAAGTGAGGAGAGTAGGAACTCCATTGATTCAGAGTAAGGTTTTGGGAAGGACTCTGCTGGTTTACACCTATAATCCTAGTGACTCAGGAGGCTGAGATCTGAGGATTGTAGTTTGAAGCCAACCGGGGCAAGAAAGTCCTGAGATTCTTGTCTCCAGTTAACCGCCAAAAGCACCCCAGGTCTAAGTGCAAGTCCCAGTATCAGCACACATATACAAAACAAAAACAGAAAAGGTCTTGTGTCAGGGCCCAGAAGGCTCCAGGGAAGCAGTGTCTGGGAGGCTGGAGGTAGGCCAGCCTGGACCGGGAGCTCACAGCCCATCTGCCTGCAGTAGCAAGTCTGGCCTCTGTTTTACCTCAGGCTACATCAGGTGTCCTGTCAGAAGTTGAGCCAGTGTGTGGTCTACCTGTTTGTTATAATCCAGGGTCTGTTGGCCTGGGCCTATTCCCTGGCGCTTGAGGTCCAGGACCAATGCCTTGGACCACCTGGACTTTTTTTTTTTTTTTTTTTTTTTTTGGTTCCTGTCGTGGGGCCTGAACTCTGGACCTGGGCGCTGTCCCTCAGCTCTTCAGCTCAAGGATAGCGCTCTACCATTTGAGCCACAGGGTCACTTCCGGCTTTTTTCTTTTTGCTTATGTGGTGCTGAGGAATTGAACCCAGGGCCTCAGGCATGCAAGGCAAGCGCTTTACCACTGAGCCACCTTCCCAGCCCCCCACCTGTACTTCTTGAGATCCGAGGAGGCACTGGGTGGGCACCATGTGTGTGGAGGTATACTGTAGGTTCTTGGGGTCACTAGGGGCCACTTAACGAATACCCTGTGTGTGGAGATGTAGTACATCACCTCAAACGCTAGACTACAAGTTTCCCCAGATGATTCTAAGCAGCGGTGATTAAACTAGAGGGTGAAGTTAGAGAACTAGGAAGTGACTCCTGCCAGGGGAGCAGGCGGGTGGGAAGGTAAGAAAAGGCAGAGGGATTGGGCGGGGCTCCCTTGACCATTCTGTCCTCTTACAGAGCTCCCGGAGCAATGGCTCTGCCTTTCTGGGCCCTGACCCTCCTGGGTCTGCTGGGCCTGGGCGCAAGCCTGCGGCCCCGCAAACTGGACTTCTTCCGTAGCGACACGGAGCTGAACCACCTGGTGGTGGATGAGGTCACGGGGGTGGTGTATGTGGGGGCCGTGAACGCGCTCTACCAGCTGAGTGCTGACCTGCATCTCCAGCAGCAGGCAGTTACAGGCCCTGCCCTGGACAACAAGAAGTGCACACCGCCCATCGAGGCTAGCCAGTGTCATGAGGCGGTGCCCACCGACAACGTCAACCAGCTGCTGCTGCTAGACCTGCCCGGGAAGCGCCTGGTTGAGTGTGGCAGCCTCTTCAAGGGCATCTGTGCCCTGCGTGCCCTGAGCAACATCTCCCTGCGCCTCTTCTATGAGGACAGCAGCGGGGAGAAGTCCTTTGTGGCCAGCAACGATGAGTGTGTGGCCACAGTAGGCCTGGTGAGCTCTACTCGCCCTGGTGGTGAGCGGGTGCTGTTTGTGGGCAAAGGCAACGGACCCCATGACAATGGCATCATCGTGAGCACCCGCCTGTTGAACCGGACGGAGGGCAGGGAGGCCTTTGAGGCCTACTCGGACCACACCACCTTCAAGGCTGGCTACCTCTCCACCAACACACAGCAGTTTGTGGCAGCCTTTGAAGATGGGCCCTACGTCTTCTTCATCTTCAACCAGCAGGACAAGCACCCTGCTCGGAACCGCACCCTGCTGGCACGCATGTGCAAAGACGATCCCTCCTACTACTCTTACGTGGAGATGGACTTGCAGTGCCGAGACCCCAGTGACCCTCAGGGCCTGGCCTTTGGTGTCTGCCTTGCAGCCTCTGTGACAGTGCCTGGCGCTGATAGAGTCCTCTATGCCGTCTTCAGCCGGGACGGCTGGAGCAGCGCGGGCCCTGGCGCTGGCCTCTGCCTGTTCCCGCTGGGTGAGGTCCACGACAAAATGGAAGCCAACCGGAACACTTGCTACACGGGCATCCGGGAGGCCAGCCACGACACCTTCTACAAACCTTTCCATGGCGAGATCCAGTGTGGGCGCCACGTGCTAGTATGTCTCCTGTCCTTGTACCTTTGCCCCCTTCCCTTCTGCCTGTGCCTGTGCTCCTCGATCGGGTGTGGAGCAGCACCAGGCTTCAATGAATAGATGCCCACTTTGGGTGTGTTGGTCTGCGCTGGTGCCACAGTGCCCGAGCCGGGCACTGATACGTGGCAGGGAGTGCGGTTCTCGGGGATATGTGTGGGACTGCCTGTTTGGGATGGTAGGGCCCTGTCCCCACCATCCTCAGAGCTCAGTATCCCCTGCTGAAACTGACCTCCTGACCCCCAGGGTGCCAGCGAGAACTTCCCCTGTGGCTCAGAACACCTGCCCTACCCGCTGGGCAGCCGGGACGGGCTCACCGCCACAGCCCTGCTGCAGCGCGGCGGCCTCAATCTCACCGCGGTGACAGTAACTGCTGAGAACAACCACACCATCGCTTTCCTGGGCACCTCTGATGGCCGGATCCTCAAGGTAAGGCCCTGGGCTGAGCACATTGGCTTACCCTGGGAATACCAGCTGCCAGGGAGGAATAGTTAGGGTTATGGTCTGATGCTGCTTCCAGGCAAAATAAAATAAAACTGAGCACCAGTGACTCACACTTTTAATCCTAGCTACTCAGGAAGCTGATATCTGAGTACTGCGGTTCAAAGCCAGACTGGGACCCAGACTGGGCAGGAAAATCCATGAGGCTCTTAACTCCAATAAGCTATAAATAAGCTGGAAGTGGCTCTCTGGCTCAAGTGGTAGAGGGGCTAGCCTTAAGCAAAGGAGCTCAGGGACAGTGCCCAGGCCCTGAGTTCAAGCCCCAGGTTTGGCACAAAATAAAAGAAAAATAATACAGAGAAGACAGGGACCTGCCCAACAAGTAGGAAACCGAGTTCAGACTCTAGCACTACCAAAACAAATAAGGGAGGTCCCGAGTCTGGACAAGGAGTCTGTTGGTGTGGGGTGGCACCTGCATGTCAGCACGGACCCTGCCCCCATGCACCCACCCTGGCATCCACAGGTTTACCTTGCCCCAGATGGCACCGCTGCGGAGTATGGCTCTATCCTCGTGGAGATCAACAAGAGAATCAAGCAGGACCTGGCACTGTCTGGAGACCTGACTAGCCTGTATGCCATGACCCAGGACAAGGTGAGGCTGGAGGTCTTCCCGGAGGTGTCTGTGCTCCGGGCTTGGTGGGCCCCGTGGTCTTCGACCCGGCCCAGCCCATGTCTCCAGCCCAGGTCCTGGCAGCACCGTTCCCGTCTCTGGATCCCTGTTGGTTTTTATCGGCTATGTGTCTTGACAGTACTGCAGGAGGGTGGGGGGGTCTTGTGAGCTCTGTCACTGGGGAGTGTGGGGAAAGCCGAGAGTCTGAGGGAGGGGCCTTTCTCTCTGGGCTGTGTCTCCCCAGGTGTTCCGGCTCCCGGTGCAGGAGTGTCTGAGCTACCAAACCTGTGAACAGTGCCGCGACTCCCAGGACCCTTACTGCGGGTGGTGTGTCATAGAGGGCCGGTGAGTGCTGCCCTCACCCTGGGGGCCTCGAGCACTGGCCACTGACGGGGCAGGAGGGTGGGCACAGCCGCACCCTGGGGGAACAAGACCTTAGCCTAAGGGTGCTGGGTTGCCCTCTGTCCTCACAGGTGCACCAGAAGGATTGAGTGCCCACGGGCCGCAGAGACAGGCCATTGGTTATGGAGCCGAGACAAGATCTGCGTGGCCATCACAGACGCCCAGCCACAGAACATGAGCCGGCGAGCCCAGGGAGAGGTGGGTGGCAGGGGATGGGCAAGGGCTGGGCTGAGGTTGCTGCCGCTGACTTGGTGGGCACCTCTGCAGGGGCTTTCCAGAGGGGTGGAATCAGGTTCTGGAAGATGATCTGGGATGTTGGCTGGCCCGTGGAGGGCCTGCTGGGAAAGAGGGAAAGGCAGAAGGACTCCGTGTGAGCCACTCACGCCTCCTGCAGGTACAGCTGACGGTCAGCCCCCTCCCTACCCTGACCCCAGAGGATGAATTGCTGTGCCATTTTGGTGACTCGCCGACACACCCTGCCGGCGTGGAAGGGGAGGTGGTCGTCTGTTACTCCCCCAGCAACATACCTCTGACACCGCCAGGCCAGGGTAAGCGAGGCACCGCTGCTCTCCTGCACACAGCCCTGCCCTTGTGTAGGGTCTGCCGGTTACCATGCTGGGGCCAGTTCTGGAGTTCAGGCTGCTTGCAGGGGTGAGGCTGTGCAGCAGAGGCGCAGTGCCCCTGCCCGGAGAGATGGCCCTGGCCCTGTCATGACTTTCAGCACCCTGTTCCACTTAACCGGGGTTGGGGCACCAGGGCCCAGGTGCTGTCCTCCACGCAGCTGCTCTCTGCCCCTCCCTGAACTGGGACAGGTAGGGCTGCCCAAAGGCCGGCATCCTGAATGTGTCCCCTGAGAACTGGGGGTGGCCGGGGCCCCACACTGACGTGGGAAGGGACCTGGCAGGTCTTCACACTCAGACTTCCAGGAGCCACTGCTCCCCCCCGCACTCAGGCACAGGGAGGGGCTGCAAAGGCAGACGGCCCCTGGGGAGAAACACAAGCCACGTCTGACGCAGGCAGCAGGCCCCGCCCAGCCCCACTGCAGTCATTCCACACCGGGCCCTTGGGCCTAAAGCCACACCTGTTCTCAGCCTGTGGGGGGGGAGAGCTGGCCCTAGGGAAGGCCTATCTCTTGATCCTGGCTGCCTCCCGACACAGCCCCTGCCTGTCCTCCGCAGACCATGTGACTGTGAACATCCAGCTCCTCTTCAAACAGGGCAGCATCTTCCTCACCTCCCACCAGTACCCCTTCTACGACTGCCCAGCGGCCATGAGTCTGGTGGAGAACCTGCCGTGAGTCTCACGCTGCCTTTAGAGCACCTCCCTCCCCGCCCGCCCAGACTCAGGTGTCACTCAGTCCTCTCCCCAGGTGCATCTCCTGTGCCAGCAACCGCTGGGCGTGCCAGTGGGACCTGCGCTACCACGAGTGCCGGGAGGCCTCCCCCAACCCCGAGGACGGCATCATTCGTGCCCACATGGTATGTGGCATGCCCACACGCCACAAGTTGTGACCGTGTGGTGAGGACTGGAGCTGGGGCGGGAGGGAGGCTGGCTGCTCCACCTGACTAGCTTTTCTTTCTCTCTCCCAGGAGGACAATTGTCCCCAGTTCCTGGACCCCAGCCCTCTGGTCATCCCCATGAACTATGAAACAGAAGTGACCTTCCAGGGCAAGAACTTGGACACAGTGAAGGTGGGAGGGAGACCTGGGTCTCCAGTGGAGGGGGGACCTGGAGCCGCCCTTGCCCTCCCTCTCAGCACCTAGCTTGGGGCGACCAGAGTCAGGAGGTGGAGGAGGGAGGACGGAGTGGGACCTGAGCCAGGTGGAGCTGTGGAAGGCAGGCTGGGCAGTCACGCTTTGGTCTGGATCGGGTGGTGTGGTCCCCCGGGGACAGGCACAGAGGGGCTTGGGGGCCCCGAGGTCCCACAGGAGCACTGAGGGTGGAGCTGACGTGTGCAGAATGTACTGAGCACACTGTCTGCAGGGCTCTACCCTGCACGTGGGCAGCGACCTGATGAAGTTCGAGGAGCCGGTGACGATGCAGGAGCCCGGGACCTTCTTCTTCCGGACCCCAAAGGTACAGCCGCAGGGCCGGCAGACCAGGCTGCTGATGTCCTGGCTCCGGGATAGGAGGGAGGGCGGTGAGGCTTGCCACCCTCTCTGCAGGAAGCAGGTGCCGCCTCTGCCTGTGTCACTGCCACTGGAGAATTCAGGCCTCCCCGTGGGTGTCTGAGGAGTGAAGACCTGACTCGCTCCTGGCGGCCGTGCCAACTCTCAGTACGGGGACTCCGCGGCTGTCGGGTAGTCATAGTGACTCCCATTTCCTGTGTGTCCCCAGCTATCCTACGATGCCAATGAGACACTGCCTCTTCACCTGTACATTAAGTCCCACGGCAAGAACATTGACAGCAAGCTCCAAGGTGGGTGGTGCCTGGCACGGGTGGCCCAGGCCTGGGGCAGGCCGTTGGCTGACGTCTCTCTCCTCCGCAGTGACCCTCTACAACTGCTCCTTTGGCCGCAGTGACTGCAGCCTGTGTCTGGCGGCAGACCCCGCCTACAGGTGCGTATGGTGCCGCGGGCAGAACAGGTGTGTGTACGAAGCGCTGTGCAGCAATTCCACCTCGGAGTGCCCGCCTCCCGTCATTACCAAGGTGAGTCCTGTTGCAGCCCGGGCCAGGCCCCATCCGTGCTCCCGGCTGTCCTGGCCTCCCCGGTCACTGGGCTCTTCTGGTTTCAGATCCAGCCAGAGACAGGCCCCCTGGGCGGGGGCATCCGTGTCACCATCCTGGGGTCCAATTTGGGTGTCAGAGCGGATGATGTCAAGAGCATTACTGTAGCTGGCCAGAACTGTGCCTTTGAGCCAGAGCAGTACTCGGTGTCCACCCGGTGAGTGGACGGCCCGCAGGTTGCAGCCTTGGTGGGAGGGGCCTGGGGCTCCAGAGTCTGGGAGCTGGGTGGCTGGAGGCCAAGGCTGACGAACTCTGGGAACCGCGGTGCTCACACCCATGTGTGCAAGAGCCAGCAGGGTTCTGTCTCTGACCAGGATCGTGTGTGCCGTCGAGGCCGCCCAGGCCCCCTTCACCGGGGGCATTGAGGTGGACGTCAACGGGAAACTTGGCCATTCGCCCCCCAGTGTCCAGTTTACCTACCAAGTAAGTGCTTTGGCTGGACTTGCAGGGAAGTCATGAGTCTGGCCTCTGCCACTGACCCCTGCGTGGATGGAAGGGCCTCTGAGCTCTAATCTCATCCAGTGGAGATGTGAGTCCAAGAGCCATGGGCCGAGCCCTGGCCCTGACCTGGGCACGCCCCGCTCTTTCAGCAGCCCCAGCCCCTCAGTGTGGAGCCGAAGCAGGGGCCACAGGCAGGTGGCACTACACTGACCATCGACGGCACCCACCTGGACACAGGTTCCAAGGAGGATGTGCGGGTGACCCTCAACGACGTCCCTTGTGAAGTGTGGGTGTCACCACAGCTGCTGAGTCTAGCTGGCCCTTGCTTGGGGGGGGGAGGGAGGGGCCGCGAAGGGGAACGGGGTGGGGGGCGTGAAGGGTCCCGGGGGGAGCACTCATACCAAGCCAGCCTGCCTGGAAACAGACAGAGGAGCCAGCCTGACGCGCTGGCCTGAGGCTGAGGTGGGTACTGACCGGCACCTCCTGCCCTAGGGTAAAGTTTGGGGAACAGCTGCAGTGTGTCACAGGGCCTCAGCCCACTCCAGGCCAGGTGGCTGTAGAGATCTCCTATGGAGGCTCCCACGTGTCCAACCATGGTGTCTCCTTTACCTACTGTGAGAATCCGGTGCTACGGGCCTTTGAGCCTCTGCGGAGCTTTGTGAGGTAGGGCTCCTTCCCCTCCTGGCGGTGGCCCTTTAGCCCCTCACCCCACAGGTGCCCAGCCCCTCCCCAGAGCCATCTGTGACCTGGCCTGACGACTGGGGCAGGGTCCCCTGGCTCTCCCATCTCTGGGGGCAGGCCTGGGGCAGGATGTGCTCCAGACCCCCTGGCTCTCCCGTCTCTGGGGGCAGGCCTGGGGCAGGGTGCGCTCCAGACGCCCGGACTCTTCCCCCATCTCTGACGTGTCACATGCTCCAAGTATGCCCCCCCTCCACCGCATTCTTGTGCTGACTGGCACTCGTGGGAGCAGGTGCGGCCCAGCCTCCAGGACCTCCTGCTGGAGCTGGCTGGACGCCTCTCTGTGCTCTCTCCTCCCCAGCGGTGGTCGGAGCATCACCATCACGGGCCAGGGCTTTGGCCTCATCCAGAAGTTTGCCATGGTTGTCATCGCTGAGCCTCTGCAGTCCTGGCGGCGGCGGCGGGAGGCCGGACCCCTGCAGCCCATGACGGTCAGACCTGGTGTGGGCTGGGGTCAATGAGAATACATTCCTGTCTGCGCCAAGGAGCCTGATGACCTGGACCCATTCCATAGGTCACCGGCACTGAGTACACCTTCTACAACGACACCAAGGTGGTCTTCTTGTCCCCTGCTGTCCCCGAGGAACCCGAGGCCTACAACCTAACGGCACTGATACAGATGGATGGACACCGTGCCCTGCTTAGGACCGAAGCTGGTGCCTTTGAGTATGTGGCAGACCCCACCTTTGAAAACTTCACAGGTGGTGTCAAGAAGCAGGTCAACAAGCTCATCCATGCCAAGGTGAGGGTGGCTGGAATGCCAGGAGACCGGCGCCCTGTGTCCCCATGGCTAAGAGCCCCTTGTGGTCACACCGACTTCTGCTAACTCCTCCCATCCCAGGGCACCAACTTAAACAAGGCAATGACGCTGCAGGAGGCCGAGGCGTTTGTGGGAGCTGAGCGCTGCATCATGAAGACGCTCACGGAGACAGACCTGTACTGTGAGCCCCCCGAGGCTCAGCCACCCCCAAAGCGGCGGCAGAGGCGAGACACCACACACAACCTGCCGGAGTTCATAGTGCGTGAGGGCAGGTGGGCGGAGGTGGGGCCCGTCCACCGCATGGGGCCCCTTGGGGGAAGCCACACTGCCTGCCCTGTTCCCCTGCACAGGTGAAGTTTGGCTCCCGGGAATGGGTGCTGGGCCGTGTGGAGTACGACACCCGTGTAAGCGACGTGCCGCTTGGCCTCATCCTGCCACTGGTCATTGTGCCCATGGTGGCCGTGATCGCCGTGTCCATCTACTGCTACTGGTGAGCCCTCCCCGGGCAGGCAGCCACCCCCTGTTCTGCGCTCTGATCACACCTGCAGTTCAAAGCTGACAGGCAGAGCTTCCTAAATTGGGGTTCCCCAGTGGCAGAACCAGGGACTCAAGAGCCTCTGCCCCCTAGGAGGAAGAGCCAGCAGGCCGAGCGAGAGTATGAGAAGATAAAGTCCCAGCTGGAAGGCTTGGAGGAGAGCGTGCGTGATCGCTGCAAGAAAGAGTTCACAGGTAGGTCAGCCGGGCTCTTGGTGCTACCGGTGGTGGGCCTGGGTTCCCTCAGGGCAGCAGGGCTGGATGTCCACCCAGGGATGGGGCCGGGCAGGGGCAGCCATGGGTGGCCTGGAACGCCCTCCACCTTCTCTCCCATGCCCCCAGACCTGATGATCGAGATGGAAGACCAGACAAACGACGTGCACGAGGCGGGCATTCCCACGCTGGACTACAAGACCTACACTGATCGCGTCTTCTTCCTGCCTTCCAAGGATGGCGACAAGGACGTCATGATCACTGGCAAGCTGGACATCCCGGAGTCCAGGCGGCCCATCGTGGAGCAGGCCCTCTACCAGTTCTCTAACCTCCTCAACAGCAAGTCCTTTCTTATCAACGTGAGTGCCTGGGGAGACGAGGGAGGGAGGGGCTCTGGCAAGTGGCTGAAAGGCTCTGACCGGCTGGCCCCACAGTTTATTCACACCCTAGAAAGCCAGCGGGAGTTCTCCGCCCGGGCTAAGGTCTACTTCGCATCGCTGCTGACGGTGGCGCTGCATGGGAAACTGGAGTACTACACAGACATCATGCGCACGCTCTTCCTGGAGCTCATGGAGCAGTATGTGGTGGCCAAGAACCCCAAGCTGATGCTGCGCAGGTGCGGGACACGGGCGGGCCGGCGGGCGGCGCAGGGCCTTGGCTGAGAGGTGACAGGAGGAGGCCCACGGTCCTGCAGTCTCTGCTGGTTTCTTAGCCGCTGTACCCTCATGCTGAGGTCACGGTGACTAGGTGATCGGCACCTTGCTGGGCGTCCTAATGGATTCCCAGGGCCTAGCTGGGAGGCTGGACCCTGTCAGCCCTTGGAGAGCTGACAAGCCTTTTACCCCCAGGTCTGAGACCGTGGTAGAGAGAATGCTGTCCAACTGGATGTCTATCTGTCTGTACCAGTACCTCAAGGTGGGCCTCTCTCTGGGGTCAAGGGTGGGGTAAGGGAATGCTGTCCTGCACGCATGCCCGGTCAGTGTCCCGGCATGAGACTGGCCCTGCTGGACGGGTGGTCTTGCCCCGGTGCGGTCCTAGGCCTGCCCCTCACACAGCCTTGTGCTGCTCAGGACAGTGCAGGGGAGCCTTTGTACAAGCTTTTCAAGGCCATCAAGCATCAGGTGGAGAAAGGGCCAGTGGATGCCGTGCAGAAGAAGGCCAAGTACACCCTCAACGACACGGGGCTGCTGGGGGATGATGTCGAGTACGCACCCCTGGTAAGCCAGCAACCTGGGCTCCCCACACCGGGGAGCGGGAGGGCAGTGTGCAGGGGGTCCCAGGCACTCTGGAGAGCAGGGGCACAGTATTCAGGTGGTCCCGGGCACTCTGGGGGGCAGGGGCACAGTGTTCAGGTGGTTCCGGGCACTCTGGGGGGCAGGGGCACAGTGTTCAGGTGGTTCCGGGCACTCTGGGGGGCAGGGGCACAATGTTCAGGTGGTCCCGGGCACTCTGAAGGGCAGGGGCACAGTGTTCAGGTGGTCCCGGGCACTCTGGAGGGCAGGGGCGGTGTTCAGGTGGTCCTGGGCACTCTGGGGGGCAGGAGTGGTGTTCAGGTGGTCCCGGGCACTCTGGGGGGCAGGGGCGGTGTTCAGGTGGTCCCGGGCACTCTGGGGGGCAGGGGCGGTGTTCAGGTGGTCCCGGGCACTCTGGGGGGCAGGGGCGGTGTTCAGGTGGTCCCAGGCACTCTGGAGGGCAGGGGCGGTGTTCAGGTGGTCCCGGGCACTCTGGGGGGCAGGGGTGGTGTTCAGGTGGTCCCGGGGACTCTGGGGGGCAGGGGCGGTGTTCAGGTGGTCCCGGGCACTCTGGGGGGCAGGGGCGGTGTTCAGGTGGTCCCGGGCACTCTGGAGGGCAGGGGCGGTGTTCAGGTGGTCCCGGGCACTCTGGGGGGCAGGGGTGGTGTTCAGGTGGTCCTGGGCACTCTGGGGGGCAGGGGCGGTGTTCAGGTGGTCCCGGGCACTCTGGGGGGCAGGGGAAATAGGTAGGGGGTCGTAAGCATCCTGACCAAGAGCCTGCTGCCCTCTCAGGACTCCATCCTGTTGCAATGTGTGGTGGTTAGCTGAGTGCATGTGTGTGGCAGTTGTGGGTCCCACGTGTGGGCTCTCTGAAGCTGGTGTGGCATGGTGTGCGCCGACAGCCCCTCATCCGCACGGAGCTTGTAGTCCTGGATGGCTCCCGGGGCAGAGGCCCCCCATCCACGGCTGTGGTCCTGTGCCCCCTGGCAGACGGTGAGCGTCATCATCCAGGACGAAGGAATCGACGCCATCCCCGTCAAAGTCCTCAACTGCGACACCATCTCCCAGGTCAAGGAAAAGATCATCGACCAGGTGTACCGCACACAGCCATGCTCCTGCTGGCCTAAGCCGGACAGCGTGGTTCTCGGTGAGTGCGTCCCTGCCCAGGGAGGGGTCCCGCGCCGGTGTTCCTCCACACCAGGGGTCACACAGCGGCAGCGAGAGGGTGCTGGAGGTAGGGCCGCCCGTGCTCCGGGCTTGTGGAAATGGGTTGTGTCCTGCAGAGTGGCGTCCTGGGTCCACAGCCCAGATTCTTTCCGACCTGGATCTGACCTCCCAGCGGGAGGGCCGGTGGAAGCGGATCAACACCCTCATGCACTACAACGTGAGTGTCCCGTGGCTGGGCGTGGGGGTCAGGTGCCCACAGCGGGACCGCCATCCCTTCCCACGTGTCTCTCTTCAGGTCCGAGATGGAGCCACCCTCATCCTATCCAAGGTGGGGGTCTCTCAGCAGCCAGAGGACAGCCAGCAGGACCTGCCCGGGGAACGTGAGTTCTGGCCTCCTGCGCAGTCCCTGGCAGCTCTTCCAGGGCAGTGTTCATGCTCTGCTGCCACCTGGGGGGTGGGCACTGCTGGGCCAGCATGGAACCGGCCTCAGGTGCCAGACTACAGTCCTCGCCCAGCTGGGTCTCTGGGCCGAGACTTGGTCCCCAGCCCTGTCCCCCCACAGGCCACGCCCTCCTGGAGGAAGAGAACCGGGTGTGGCACCTGGTGCGGCCCACCGACGAGGTGGACGAGGGCAAGTCCAAACGTGGCAGTGTGAAGGAGAAGGAGCGGACCAAGGCCATCACTGAGATCTACCTGACAAGGCTACTCTCAGTCAAGGTGGGTGGGAGTCCGTCCACGTCCGCAGGGGTCCTCGTTAGGGGCCGCTGCAGGTCACGCTGAGCCTCTTCTCCACAGGGCACCCTGCAGCAGTTCGTGGACAACTTCTTCCAGAGTGTGCTGGCACCTGGGCACGCGGTGCCGCCTGCAGTCAAGTACTTCTTCGACTTCCTGGATGAGCAAGCAGAGAAGCACGACATCAGAGATGAGGACACAATCCACATCTGGAAGACCAACAGGTAAGGCCGCCCTTCGCTCCCTGCCCACCCTTCGCGCCACCCCCGCCCCACCTCCCCTTACTCTCTGTTGCCCTGCCACAGTTTACCACTGCGGTTCTGGGTGAACATCCTCAAAAACCCGCATTTCATCTTCGATGTGCACGTCCACGAGGTGGTGGACGCCTCGCTGTCCGTCATCGCACAGACCTTCATGGATGCCTGCACCCGCACAGAGCATAAACTGAGCCGGGTGAGTGGGGCTTGGGGCGCCGTGGGGGAGGGAGAAGCTAGGCCAGGCACCGCGTGGCATGGGGGGTCTGAACTGGACCATGTTCATGGGGTGACCTGGGAAGCCCTGGCTAGGAAAGACTTGTCTGACTGAGGCTAAAGCTCGGGACAGAGGCAGGTGGCAGGTGACAGGCGCAGGCCCAGTCGAAGGAGGTCCTCAGGGCCTCGACCTCCTTTGCCACCTCCTTTGAGACCTCCCCTCATTCAGGTAGAGAAAGGGAGTTTTTGCCACATAATACAAAAGTACACCTGGGCCCTGTATTTTAAGGTGGCTTATAGCTATAACCTTAGGAGGCTGAGATCTGGAGGTCACAGTTCAAAGCCAGCCCGGGCAGGAAAGTCCACAAGACTCTTTTTTTTTGGGGTGGAGGGGGGGTCTGCTTGTGGGCCTGAACTCTGGGCCTGGGCGCTGTCCCTCAGCTCTTCAGCTCAAGGCTAGCGCTCTACCACTTGAGCCACAGCGCCACTCCTGGCTTTTTCTTTTTTCTGCTTATGTGGTCCTGAGGAATTGAACCCAGGGCTTTACGCATGCAAGGCAAGCGCTCTACCACTGAGCCACCTTCCCAGCCCCTCCACGAGACTATTTCCAATTAACCGCCAAAAAGCTCAAAGTGGGACTGAGAAGGTGGCTCAGTGGTAGAGCGCTTGCCTTGCATGCCTGAGTCCCTGGGTTCGATTCCTCAGCACCATATAAGCAAAAAGAAAAAGGCCTGAAGTGGCGCTGTGGCTTAAGTGGTAGAGCGCTAGCCTTGAGCTGAAGAGCTGAGGGACAGCGCCCAGGCCCAGAGTTCAGGCCCCATGACCGGACCCAAAAAAAAACAAAAAAACAAAAAGCTCGAAGTGGAGTTGTGGCTCAAATGGTAGAGGGACTAGCCTTGAGCTGAAGGGCTGAGGGACAGCGCCCAGGCCCAGAGTTCAAGCCCTGATACTGGCACCAAAAAAAAAAAAAAAGGTTTCTTGAAGGCTTTAGGAGCCTGGGCAGGCCTCACTGCTCACTTTTGGGACCCTGAGCGCTGACTGGCTCAGTGTCTTTCCTTGGCTTCATTTTCCACAGGACTCTCCTAGCAATAAACTGCTGTATGCCAAGGAGATCTCTACCTATAAGAAGATGGTGGAGGAGTAAGTGCCATCCAGCCCTATACCAGACCTGGGTGCCACTCCAGCCCTCTGGAGGGAGGTCTGGAGAGCAGCTGACTGTCCCTGGGAAACCCCCAACCCTGGCCTTTCCTGCTGCCCCCTACTGGCCCTCTCTGACTCTCTGCCCTACAGTTACTACAAGGGCATCCGACAGATGGTGCAGGTCAGCGATCAGGACATGAACACACACTTGGCAGAGATTTCCCGGGTAAGGTTGCCTAGGCCCTGGGCAGGGGTGGCACCTTGCAGATGACAAGCATGAGCTGGCTGGGCGGGCGTGTAGGTCAGGAGAGCCTGTGTTGCTGCACGTGGGGAGAGGTATGCACACTCCCAGGTGGTAGGCAGTGAGCAGTCGGTGCTGTGAGACATGGCCGAGAGGCTGCTGTGTGTGCAGGTGCTCCACATTTGGGATTGCTGGGCACAGCCCTGCACTCACCTCTGTGATAGCACCACACAGAGCCACATTGCAGCCTGCTGCTCGGGGCAGGGCCACACTGCTCCTCCTGTACCGAGTGACGCTCTTGTCCTCCAGGCACACACCGACTCACTGAATACACTCGTAGCCCTGCACCAGCTCTACCAGTACACACAGAAGTACTACGATGAGGTGAGTCTGAGTCCCTGGAGTGGGGTTCTGGGAAATCCCTTCCCTCCCCACCTCTGCCCTGTGATCTGATGGGCACCCCAGATCAACACTCTCCCCCCCCCCATCATGATCTGACTGTTCCCCCCAGATCATCAGTACCCTCCCCCGCCATGATCTGACAGTTCCCCTCAGATCAACACCCCCCCCCCCGTGATCTGACTGTTCCCCTCAGATCATCAATACCCTCCCCCACCGCCGTGCCCCCCCCCCCCCCGTGATCTCACAGTTCCCCCAGATCATCAACACCCTCCCACCCGCTGTGATCTGACAGTTCCCCCAGATCAACACCCTCCCCTGCCATGATCTGACAGTTCCCCTCAGATCAACACCCTCACACCCCCCCCCCCCCCGTGATCTGACTGTTCCCCCAGATCATCAACACCTTCCCCCCCCCCCCCGCTGTGATCTGAGAGTTCCCCTCAGATCATCAACACCCGCCCCCCCCCCTCCCCCCCCCCCCCCCCCCCCCCCCCCCCCCCCCCGTGATCTGACTTCCCCTCAGATCATCAACGCCCTAGAGGAGGACCCTGCAGCCCAGAAGATGCAGCTGGCCTTCCGCCTGCAGCAGATCGCTGCAGCACTGGAGAACAAGGTTACCGACCTCTAACCTCTGACCGCAGCGCTGCCTCAGAGCACAGGTGTGTGGTGGCCCCCTGGCGTCAGGCAGCCCCTGGGCGTAGGGCCGCATAAGTGATCGCTGGCCTCTCTTCTCTCCACAGCACAGAACATGCCCTGGGCATCTGGAGGGGTGCAGCGGGCTCACTTCCTGCTATAGACTGTAGTGTCCTTCCTGAGCAATACTGCCCGGGCACCACGCCAGCAGCTCCCTCCTGTGGCACCAGCATCGGGCGTCTCTGTGTCGTCTCCTGAGCGACTTGCAAACGTGCCTTACACAACCACGCCAGGCCGCTGGGGGCAGTGGCGCCTCAGCCCCCCTCCCTGTGCACCAGCAGCCTCCTCAGTGTCCCTGGGTTTGGTCTTGGGTGGGCTCTGGGTACCTGCAGCCCCCAGGGAAAGTACCTGGACTGAGTGCCTGTCTGCCAGATAGGAGGAGGAGAAGCGGTACGATGCCTTCCTGACCTCACCTGGCTCCCAGTGGGGTGCAGGCATTCGGGTGGACTCAGGGGCTGCTGGCCCCACCTGAAAGGTCAAACTGGACGTCAGACGTCGGGGCCCAGTGGCTGGGGGCCCAGCAGACTGGTCTCAGCCTGTCAGACAGGTTGCCTCGAAGGCCCCGTCCAGGTCTGGGGCAGCTCCGCCAGGGCCATCCACCCCTTTTTGTAAATCGTGTTGATTGTACATCCAATACAACTGTCTTTTTCACTGCTGGTTGGCTGTGTTCCTTCGGAGGCGGCCTGGGGTTCCTGTCTGCGTGTGTGTCACTGGCTCCGCTGGGGACCAGGGGCCGTCTGTGGCGACAGAAGCTGGTGGAGTGTGAGAGCCGTCCTGATCTTGTACTTTCCACACAGTTCCTGGGGTAAGGGCAGGAGGTAGCCCTCAGGGCGCACGTTTCATGAACCCTGTGACATACAGGTCCTGCCGGCGTGGTAGGGCAGCCCTGGATCTCGGGGCCGTGAAGCCAGCTTCCTCTAATGGCACGACCTGCTCCAAGATGAGACAGGGCACGAGGCCCGCAACTGAGAGGCACTGTGGCTACTGAGAGGCCGGGGGGGAGGGGTCCAGTCCCCGACACAGCAGCAGGTCCAGGACAGTGCCATACGGGTGTGAGCTGGCAGCTAGCTGGTGTGTACACGCGTGCTTGAGGTGAGTGCTGGGACTCGTATATTCAGACCCAAGCTCCACTGTGTGCCAGGCGTTTGGAACCCAGCAGCAAACTAGACAGATGTTCCGTCTCCAAGGACACCCATCTGAGCAGGAGGGACTGGTGTTCTACAGCGGAAATGTCTAGCTTCATCTTGGACCTGATGCTGTTATCTTTGGGGCCCATTTGCCTGAACTGTTTCTCAGTGTGCACTGGCATCATCTGATGGCTGGGGAGACTTGATAGGAGGTTCAGCAATGAGTCTGAATCTCTTCTTCACTGGGTGGCGCCACTGAAGCTGCATGAACATAGGCAGCTTCCTACCCCCAAGAAAGTGCAGCTGATATGGCAGAACAGAGACCTCTGCAGTGACACAGGTCGCCCGCTTCCCAGAGATCTGACTGACTGAGGCTTCAGTAACAGAAGGAGTCTGGGGGGTTAGTCCGGGAGGCTGAGCCCTGGGTCTCTGGCCTAGAGGCCTGGACTCCAGGTTGAACCCCTGTGTTAGACCACCTTTACCCCTTCCCCACAGACAGTCACTAGGAGCCACGGATGCTGTGGAGCTTGGTGGTGGATGGAGACTGGTGGTCTAATGGTTCCCAGGTGGGATCTCCACTTTTAGCCCCAACCCCTGTGAGAACTGTGTTCTTACACAGGGCCAGCTAAGGGTAGAAGCTTTACCTCTAGGCTGGGTGCCAGTAGTTCATGCCTGTAGTCCTAGCTACTCAGGAGGCTGAAATCTGAGGATTCCGGTTCAAAGCCAGCCTAGGCAGGAAAGTCCTTACCAACCTCCTGTTAACTACCAAAAAAGCTGGAAATGGAGCTGTGGCTCAAATGGTAGAGCACTAGCCTTGAACACGAAAGCTCAGGGAGCTGGGCGCTGGTGGCTCACACCTGTAATCCTAGCTACTCAGGAGGCTGAGATCTGAGAATCACGGTTCAAAGCCAGCACAGGCAGGAAAGTTCATGAGACTCTTATCTCCAATAAACCACTAGAAAACAGGAAGTGGTAGAGCACTCGCCTTGAGCTGTAGAGAGCAGGGACAGGGCCCAGGCACAGAGTTCAAGCTCTACGACTGGCAAAAAAAGTAGAAAGCTCAGGAACAGTGTCCAGGCCTTGAGTTCAAGTCCCAGGACCAACACACACACACAATTTAAAAAAATCCTTGTACAGTATTTTCACAATAAAAACTTATTTAAAAACATCCTGTGCCTCATGAGTGCATGGTGGCAAGCCAACCTTGAGTGGGCAGCATGCCAGTGGACCTACAGGTGATGTCCTTTGTCCCTCCTCCCACTTTCCTCCCAGTGTGTGGGACAGAGAGGCAGGAAGGGGCTCTGGGAAACTTTGATGACCTTTCCACAATCACCCCCTTGTGCTAGGTTTGTCTTCCAGGGAGTGCATTCTGCCCACAGGTAGAGGTGGGGAGGGGGGAGCTGACCCTTGGAAGGCTGTCATAGCTATGGGGGGGGAAAGGGGGTAGGAGGGGGATGGACAATGGTGGGCAGTGGACATGAGAGGAGGGATGGGACCGATACTTGTGACAGTCACAGCAGAGGGTAGAGGAGGCCATATTCAGCTGCCCCCTGCCGCGGGCTTTTGTCCCTCTTGCCTGGGTATGTCCACCTTCCTGCTTTATCTCCTGGCCTCTGCTGGTGCCACCCCAGGCCTTTTCTGACCCCTGCTAGGTTCTGAAGTACCTCTACTCAGAAGGGACCTCCAACACCTGAAACACTAGTGGCCACTAAACAGCGCCCACCTCCCCCACCCCCCAAGGCACACTGCTAGCAATGTTCAGCTCGTGCAAGGTTCAGGCAGAGGGTAGGAGGTGACCAGGGCTCTGGCCACCCCCCTTCCCACTCGGGTGGTGCTGAGCCCCACAGCCAGTGCAAGGCCAGGATTAGCAGGTTGCCCTGAGAACAGCCCAGCCGCAACCCACACAACGAGTGCTCCCCTCCCAGCCACGCCAAGGCTCCCGCAGCCCAGGCCCCCCTCCGCCTCCTTCGCCTTTAGCAGAAGCTCCATTAACTAAACACAAACCCTCAGTCCACCCCAGGAAAAGGTGGGGGCCTCCCTTGGGGAAACCAGGCAGGGGCCAGGGCCATCCTCAGGCTCTCTCAGTGGCCCCTCGACCCACTGAAGCTCAATGAGTACTGGGGGCGGAAGCCAACGTGTCAGGCTGGCCTGCCCCACACAGGGTGTGGGTTCAGACTGTCAGGCTGGTTCTCTGCTGGTCTGCTTTAATTTGGTAGTCAAGTTTTATTGTTTTGTGGTACATTATAATACATTGTAACACACTTTGTGGTTGTGAGGGCCAGCTGGATCCAGGAAAGAGCTCCAGCACTGAGTTAATTTTTAGTTTAAAATGTATTTCGCGGGACACCAGTGGCTCACGCCTATAGTCCTAGCTACTCAGTTGGCTGAGATCTAAGGATCATGGTTCAAGGCCAGCCAGCTGGAACATCTGTGAGACTCTTAACTCCAATTAAACCACCAGAAAACCAGAAGTGGTGCTGTGGCTCAGGTGGTAGAGCGCTTGGCTTGAGCTGAAGAGCTCAAGGACAGCGCCCAGGCCCTCCAGGGTTCAAGCCTCATGGCCCACAAAAATACACAGAAAACGTCCTCTGCCCTCCAGAACTCGAGGGCCATTGCTCTAGGGGCAGTGCTGCCCCAATCCCTGCTCACTTTGAAGTGAGGATCAAAGGGCACGGGGTGCAGGACCGAGAGGCCGTGGGAGCAGGACCTGGCCAGTCACGGAAGAGCCCTGGGCTCACGTCTGCAGAACGCTGGGGCCTGCAGGGCCTGCGTGTCCCAGCGCAGGGAGGGGAGGGAGGACAGGGAGGACAGGGAAGGTAGGGAGGGCAGGGAGGGCAGGGAGGACAGGGAGGACAGGGAGGGCAGGGAAGGTAGGGAGGGCAGGGAGGGCAGTGACAGTGGCTCCAGAGAGGACTCATGTGGGGCTGCCTCGTGGATACAGTGCTCTCCCCCAACACTGGCCTGCAGCCCCCTCACTGGACACTGCACTCCACCTATGAACACCGCCCCCCCCCCGGGACACCGTGTCCCATGGACACTGTGCCCCATGGACACCATGCCCCCCCCCCATGGATACCGCGCACCTCCCCCGTGAACACCGCACACCAACCCCCGTGGACACTGCGCCCCCCCCTGCGAGCACCGCAGCCCCAGCTGTGGATGGCGGGGTGGGGCAAGGCATGGACGGTGAGGCGTGGACGGAGGCGGGGTGTGCACAGCCGGGTCCTGCCGTCCTTCCTGGAGCCCCATGCTGAGGCTGCGCCCTGTCCCCAGCGGTGCGGCCCTGGCTGGGAGGGGACTTCTCAGAGCCAGGGAGTCCCGTGGGGGGGAAGGCCCGCGGGGGGGGGGGGGTGGAGGCCCGCGGGGGGGGGGCAGAAGGCCCGGGGAGGCCCAGGCTCAGGCCAGGCTCACCCTACCCCTCCACTCACCGCCCCACAGTGCTCCTAGGACACCCAGCTGTCCACAAAGCGGGCGGTGAAGAAGCCGGCGCGCCCATTCCGGCCGCTGCCGGAGGGCTCAGGGAAATCCCAGCTTTCCCTGTCCAGACACCTGAAGGGTGAGCAGCAGAGGGCGACCCTGGGGCAGGTTAGCACCGGGGCTCTGCAGTGGGTGAGCAGAGGAGCCAGCATGAGAGGCAGCCTGGCCCAGGGACGAAGCCTGCCTTTCGGACTGCCTGCCCTTCCTCCCTGCCCAGGTCCTCAGGCTTCTGGACATCCTCACACCGGCCATGTCCACCGAGGACGCCAACGAAGTATAAGCGGCTGGGAAGAGGGGGCCGGAGCCACTGGAGGGGCCGGCTGGGCCCTGTCCTGACCCCTGGCCCTACTGTAGGTATCTGGTGACCATCTTGAAGGACGCAGACCTGAACACCGTCAAGTGCCAGGCGCCGAGTGACGTCCGCATGCCGTTCCTCGTTCACCAGCTGCTGCGTGGCTCAAGGTGTCCCCTCAGGGTCACCAAGTCTCCCTTTCCCTGCAGCACGTCCACTCTGTGGGGATCATCCACCGGGTAGGAGCTGCCACAGGGGAGGCGAGGGGCGGGCGGGGCAGCTGCCTGTGCTCGCGTCCCATCCACCCTGCAGGACTTGAACACTGGGGAGCTGATGACAGCCTTGAGGACAGGAAGGCTGGGAGCACACATGGATGTGGGCGTGGACATGGAGATCTCTCCCCTGGGCCTTGCTCCAGAGCTGAAGATCCCCTGCCCGCACTCTGCTCCCGTGTGCTCTGCAGCAGATCTGGGCATTAGCTTCCATTTCTCCTCCCAGAAAGGAAGTGACCAAGTAATCTCCAGTACAGGAGCTGCTTGGAGATGGGGCTGTGGCTCTTCTGAGGAGTCTCTTCAGGGGCCTAGGGTGGCTTGATGTCAAGTGCCTGCACAAAGAGCGCATGATAAAGGGGAGTTGCCTCTTGATTTTGTGTCCCGGCTACCTGGAAAGGGTGGTCCGATCTCTGTACTTCACACATCTCCGGCACCTTCAACCTCAGCACTGATTCCTTGGTCTCCCAGTGAGACCAGCAGCTGGCTTCTGGCATCTCACTGTCTCTGAAGGGTCTGAGAGTGGATAAAACCAGAAGGGGTCGAGGTTCATGGGAACAGGGCATGCAAGGCACTCACACACAGAGATCCCAGATGCCCTGCAGGCAGGTTTCAGTAGACAGGCTCAGCTCCTAGCCCAGACCTAGACCCAGACCCTCCTCTCAATCAAGGCACTCCTTCGGGTAGCTCTGCAAGCGAAAGCCTGCCTTTCCCCAGGGCTTGGTCAGGATGGGGGAATGCCTTTCCTTCCTGGCTAAGGGACAAAGGGGCCACTGTAACCAGGGATCCATCCAGTTGCCATTACTACAGCTTATAGATGCCCTCTCCCTGACCTGGTGCCATGGCTTATGCCTGCAATCCAAGCTACTCTGGAGGCTGAGAACTGAGGATCAGTTTGAAGCCAGCCCAGGCAGGAAAGTTCATGAGGCTTTTGTTGTTGTTGTTTTTGCTAGTCCTGGGGCTTGAACTTGGGCCTGGGTGCTGTCCCTGAGCTCCTTTTGCTCAAGACTAGTGCCCTACCACCAGAGCCACAGTTCTACTTCAGCTTTTTCTGTGATTAATTGGAGATAAAAAGTCTTGGACTGGGACTGGGAAGGTGGCTCAGTGGTAGAGTGCTTGCTTGCATGCATGAGGCCCTGGGTTCGATTCTTCAGCACCACATAAACAGAAAAGGCCGGAAGTGGCTTGATTGGTAGAATGCTAGCCTTGAGCTGAAGAGCTCAGGGACAGTGTGCCCAGACCTAGAATTCAAGCCCCACGACCAACTTTCCTGCCTGGGCTGGGTTCAAATCAAGATCTGCAGATCTCAACCTTCTGAGTATCACCAGACATTCATCTCCAATGAACTGCCAAAGGAGCCATAAGTGAAGCTGTGGCTCAGTAAGAATGCTATCCTTGAGCAAAAAAGCTCTTGGACAGTTCCCATTCCCAGAGTTCAAGCTCCAGGGACATGCACACACACAAAAACATTCTTTCCGTGAGTGCTAGACAACCAAGTGGTCTAGTGAGAAGCCCTGGAGAGGAATCCAGTTTGGGAGTAGAGCATGAGGGCAAAACGCTTCTGGAACCTGGTCGGACACTGGACCTATGGCCCTCCCACAGCGTAAGGATGAGGAGAGCAGCTGGAGGCTCATGGAGGGGTTGGTGACAGCATAGGGCACAAGAGGCACCGGGTTCAGCCACCTTTGCACACATCACCAGCCCGGGCAAGTGCCCGGCCGCTTGCAGCAGCCCCGGTGTAAAGCTGTTCTGGCTGGCCTTGGGCTGCTGATTCATGGCTGGCAGGCGGGGCACGGGGCACAGAGGGCCGGCAGGGGTCCCATGGATCCTGTTACCCACCAGCAGAACGAGAGCCTGGGCAGACCTGGGTCCTTCAGCTGTAGGACAGGGCTGGGGTTTGCCCTCCAGGAGTATTTGGGCCAGAACCGGGCCAGATAGTAAAGAGGATGCCCAAATGAGGGGCCAGGCGGAAGGCCAAAGCAGGATCTGCCTTCACCCTGAGGACAGACACACTGGGCAATGGTGCCTAGGACTTTGAAGGACAGCTGGGCAGGGGTGAGAGGGTGTCAGCCTCTGCAGGTGCATGAAGCAGACGCCCCAGGTGGCAGGTGGGGCCAGAGGGTTGAAGTGCAAGAGCAGTCCCCTGGGCTCCTGGGCACTGAAGCTGAGAGACAATGGCCTCAGAACTGAGGTTGGGCAGCCGGGGGCTACTCAGGAAGCTGCCATCTGAGGATCTAGTTTTGAGGCTGCTTGCGCAAAAAAGTTTGTTAGACTCTTAACCCCATTTAACTACCAAAAAAAAAACAAAAAAAAAACCTCAAACAAAGCTAGAAGCGGAGCTGTGGCTCAAGCGGTAAAGCACTGGTTTTGAGCACAGAAGGTCAGGAACAGCACCCAGGCCCTAAGTTTAAGTTCCAGGACCCTCACAAAGTAAAAGAATGAGGTTGGGCATAGAATGGGTGGAGTTTGAGAGACAGACAGACACCTCCTCCCCCTACCCCCCACAAACGTCCAAGAGGCCCTGCTTAGCCCTCGGTGGTGGGAAGGGCGAGGGATCCTCAGGGGGGTCCGCAGGCGGCCAGGCGCAGGAGGTGGGTCACAGGGGGGGTGCAAGCCGGTGGGGCGCAGGGGGTGTCGCAGGCGGCGGGGGCAGAGGGAGGGCGCAGGCCGGCAGGACACAGGGTGGGGTGTAGGCGGCGGGGCGCAGGCCGGCTGTGGGGTTGCGCAGGCGGCGGGGCGCAGAGGGGGTGCGCAGACCAGCGGGGTACAGGGTAGGGTGCAGGAGGGGCGCAGGCGGCGGCGCGCAGGCGGCGGGGCGCAGGGCAGGGTGCAGGAGGGGAGCAGGCCGGCGGGGCACGGGGGGCGGGGGGAGCGCAGGCCAGCGGCGCGCCGGGGGATGCGCAGGTGGCGGGGAGCACGGCGGGGGGGGGGGGCGCAGGCGGCGGGGAGCACTGCGGGGTTGCGCAGGCGACGGGGTGCAGGCCGGCTGGGGAGGGTGCGCAGTCGGCGGGGCGCAGGCGGCGGGGCGCAGGGGGGGCGCAGACCGGCCTTCCCAAGCGGCCGCCTCGGGTTTCCCGAAGGCATCACGTGCGCGGGGCCCGGTTGGTCGGCGCATGGGGGAGGGGCCGTGCGCCCCGCCGCTCCGGGGTCCGGTGCCCGCGGGCCGGGGCGCAGACCCAAGGAAGGAGCGCGCGGGGACGCGCTCAGGCCGGCCCGCCATGGGCTCCCCGCCGCCCGCCCGACGGGGCTTCTACCGCCAGGAGGTGACCAACACGGCCTGGGAGGTGCGCGCCGTCTACCAGGACCTGCAGCCCGTGGGCTCGGGCGCCTACGGCGCGGTGTGGTGAGCGCGGGGCGCGGGGCGGCGGGGCTCGGGGCGGGAGGCCTGGACCAGGCCCCGCCGCTAAGCCGGGCGCCCCGCAGCTCCGCGGTGGACAGCCGCACGGGCGCCAGGGTGGCCATCAAGAAGCTGTACCGGCCTTTCCAGTCCGAGCTGTTCGCCAAGCGCGCTTACCGCGAGCTGCGGCTGCTCAAGCACATGCGGCACGAGAACGTGAGTCTGCGGTCAGCGGCTGCCCGACCCTCCGGGGTCCCCAGTCCTCCTCGGCCCTCCCCTCCTCAGCCTCCCCTTCCCCACCTCTTCCTGTCCCTCCTCTCTTCTCCCCAGCCCTCCCCTCCTCAGTCCTTCCCCCTCTCCTCCTCTTCCCAGCCCTCCCCTCCCGGACAAGTCCCACCCAGCTGCTGCTTCCTCCCCGCCCCCCTGTCCAGGTCACTCCCGCCTGGCCCCTAGGCCCCAAAGCTGTGAGGCTGATGGTCAAAGCAGTGTTCCTGGAGGAAGGGGCACAGACATGCCCCTTTCTAGGAGACCCTCTTCTGTACCCCACGTCCGGTCCCTCCCCCTCAGCTCACCTGATTCTGCTGCTCAGGTGGTGGACAGTGTTACTTGGGCCGGGAGCAACTCCAAATCTTGTTCCAGACTCTGCCTCCGGCCAGGGTGGTAGGAGGCTCTGCGCTAATGGCCTGGGGAAGGTTTAAACCCCCACCCCAAGCCCCTGCTCCAGCATCTCCACCCCACCCTGCCTGACATGTTCTTATCCTTCTGGGTCATCCTAACCACCAGACCTCTAGGAGAACCAGGTCCTTGTGTGTGCCAGCAAGCAGACCCCCTTGACTCAGTCACTGCCAGACTTGGTGCTCTGGTAGATCCTTTCTTCTTGCAGGCTCTGCATGTCTGCCCAACCTGGGCTGAACCTGTCTCATTCCCGTGAGTGTAGCTTCCTTCAATCCTTGTTTTGCTCCCGTCTCTCTGTCTTTCTGTCTATCTCTCTTTCTCATTACTGGAGTTTGGCCTGGTGCATCCTTAGCTTGCTTGTTTGCTTTCTTGGTTAATACTCTATCACTTGGGCCATGCCTCCAGTCCTGATTTTTGCTTGGTGATTTTGGAGACAGTTTCATAGATTCTTCTGCCCAAACTGACTTTGGACCTTGATGCTGTGGACCTCAACCTCCTGAGTAGGATGATAAGCATGAGCCCTCAGCAACCAGCTTCACCTCCCACTCTGACTTACGTGCCAGGGAATCTACCCTGCCCTGCAGGCCCTGGCCTCTCCACAGCTGGGCACTGCTGCCGCCAAGATGCCCCCAACACAAGTTGGGAGGCACTGCCAGTTCTAAGTTGTGTTTTGTGAGGAAAGAGGCCGGAAGGGGCTGGGAGGCCTTCTTGATGGGGACAGGGAATGGACGCAGTCCCAGCACGGCTCCCTGTGTCCCCCCAGCCGCTTCAGGCCTCTCCCTTTCCTCAAACCCCAGCCCCCTGCTCTGCACACGCTACCTCACAGAGGCATAGAAGTCTTGTCTCTCTGGTGGTCCCACTTCTACATCTAGGATAATGACCCCCGCCCACTTGGTTGAGTGACTCCCCTGTGCCCAGGCCTTTCTCTTCCCCCGGCCATGCTCCTGTCCGTAGCTCTGGCCTTGACTGCAGTGGTCACCTACCTGCCCCTCTGCCTCAGGCCTCACTCCACTCCATCCCTGTACTGCAGTCTTGAGGACAGGCTCAGTATCACACCGCTGCTCAAGCTCTTCCACACAGGCTTATCGGGTCACAGACCAACCTTCCTCGGGTATGAGAGAGTGAGCCCCAGCAGACTCTTACTCCCCCCCACCCCTTGGCTTGGACCACAGCCACCTGGCAGAGGCCAGGTGTTACCTAAGCTATGGGAGTATTCTTCCTTCTGTTTCAGTCATTTACCTGGCCTCTGTTGAAACGTTTACCTGTTCCTCTAGCTGCTTGGATTTCCAACTGTCCTTGTGGAAACCTTCATGGGCCCCTGAAGGGCCTGTCATTCCCACATGCTGGACCGCCACTGTCACACTGTCCATCTGTCCATTTTCCTTAACCAGAGCGGTATGGAGATCAAGTCTGCCATCACAGTGCAAGCTCATGCTCTAGACAGCAGAGGCATGGTCCCAGTAAGGACTGACCAGATGTTGGCTGTTTTCAGGGGCTGTGTGGACTTGAATCTAAGACTTGCTTGATTAGGGAAGAGGAAATGTGGGGGAGGAAGGACCAAAGGGCTCTAGTGCTTGGACACCGGGAGGCAGCCCGGATGTGGGCTGCCCCTCCCCCAGAGGATCCCTGCTGTCACTATCCAGAAATAGCCTGTGTCTGCAGACAAGTGTAGCAGAGCCGGGCGGGGCTGCCGTGGGCACATGGGGGAGATGAGGACAGGGTTTCCTGTGTGGAGCACTGGGCCACCTTTGGGGTGCTGAGTCCCATGTCATCTGTGTGCGTCCATCCCTCCTGGCACTCTGTCCCCCAGGTGATCGGGCTGTTGGATGTGTTCACTCCTGACGAGACCCTGGAGGACTTCACAGACTTGTGAGTGCTGGCTAGCTGGCCAGGCGGGCGTGGCAGCCTGCAGGGCTCCTGGGTACCAGATTTTGGTCCCAGGCTGACTCCAGGCGCTCTCCCCAAACCTTGGGTGGATGGGGACCCAGAGGTACATTGCTCCCTCTCTCCACCCTCCCATGTGCTCCTCGAACCCGTGGGCACTGGCACTACCAGGGAGAGCCAGGGCCTCCTTCTCCTTTGAGGCCCAGGCACCAGAGCCGTCAAATTGACTGAGGTACAAACCTGGGATGTGGGATGTGAACAGGCAGGTCTTGCACAGACTCTGACACCAGAATCAGAGCCACTGGCCTTTGCTGACAGATGGGGTAAGAGGCAGCAGGGAGGACCTACCCCACCCCTAGCCCCCCCAGCCTGTCTGACAGGTGGCCAGCCCAAGGCTCACACTACAGATAGCCAGAGACAAGGAGCAAGCAGGGAAGGGTTGGAGCAGAAAGCAGCCTCTGCGTCCCAGTGCCCTCTGGAGGTGCTGATGCCACTTCCCTCTCTGCACCCACCCAGCCTCGACTGCCCCGCCCCAGACTCCCACTCCCCTTGCCCGTGAAGCTCACACCCTGCTGCCAGCCCTCATCTGGCACACAGTGCCCTTCCTTCCAGTGTGGAGCCCCCTCCCACCTTCCATTCTGAACTGGAGGGGTGGGACAGAGATGTGGGCACGTGTTGGCTGTGACGAGCAGACTGCATCTGGGCTGTAGGCCACGGTGGGGGCAGTGGTTCAGTGGGGGAGACGGTAGGGTCCAGGGGCTAGTGGAGAGGATACAATGGGTGACACCCCAGGGTTTCCCCATCTGGGCAAGGTCTTGTAGGGTGCGAGCCACAGCCAGTGAGCCCCGGCACAGACCCAGGGGCCGTCCTTGTCCTGCTGACTCTACCTGACCCTGCTCCCACAGCTACCTGGTAATGCCGTTCATGGGTACCGACCTGGGCAAGCTCATGAAGCATGAGACTCTGAGTGAGGACAGAATCCAGTTCCTTGTTTATCAGATGCTGAAAGGGCTGAAGGTGGGGCCTGCTGAGGTGGCCGTGGGGAGGTCAGCAACGCCCAGATGGCAGGGTACAGCTTCTGGCTTGGAGGGACTTGCGCTGACAGTAGCCAATCCCCCTCTCTCCTACAGTATATCCATGCCACTGGTGTCATCCACAGGGTAAGTCCTGGTGGGAACGGGCAACCCCCCACCCATGCCTCTGCCCGCCGTGTGAGCAGGAGGGGCACTCAGATCCAGGTCCAGCCTTGTAAGGGGGAAGGATAGAGTCTCGTGTGTGTGTGTGTGTGTGTGTGTGTGTATGCCAGCAACACCCCCCCCCCAGCCCTGCCGGAGCCTGCCCTCACATTCACATAGCCCATCTACTCTCATTGGAGGGCTTTGGAGGCAAGGACTCAGTTCAGACCCAGACTGGCATCCTTAACAGTGCTACCCTGGCACACCCCAGGCAGGCAGGACATAGTGGCACACCCCAGGCAGGCAGGACACCATTCTTCCTTTTCTCTACTCCAGGACCTCAAGCCTGGCAATCTGGCTGTGAATGAAGACTGTGAACTGAAGGTAAGGCTGGACGGGGAGGACAGCTCACGCCTGGCTCAGCAGCCCCTCACCATCTGTCTACTACCCTGGTGCCCTCAGGCCCTGGAGGTGGCCTAGAGCTGCGGTGTCTAGACAGTGACTGCGCAGCTGATGTGCTCTTGGGGGTGCTGGTGGGGATGGCATCAAGCACGCGCCACGCTGGCCCAGAGCAGGGTTTGGCTGTCCCCCCGAGTGAGCAGGAAGCGGCTGAGTGGAAAGAATCCCAGGTGCCAGCTCCTGAGGTGGGCTGGTCCTTAGCCTTGGCAGGGGGTGGATGCCCCAGTGTAGGTGCTTCGGAGCCAACCCCAGGTCTCCTGGACACCGCAGACCTGCTCACTCCTCAGGGTCCCCTCAGTCCTCCTCTCAACGTTTCTCTCAGATCCTGGACTTTGGCTTGGCTAGACAGGCAGACAGTGAGATGACAGGCTATGTGGTAACTCGGTGGTACCGGGCGCCTGAGGTCATCTTGAATTGGATGCATTACACACAGACAGGTGAGAGGCAGAGCCCACCCCAGAGGCTCACGGCACTCACGCTGCGCCTGTCTCCTTCCGCTCAATCATTCATTCACTCGCTTATTCATATTTATTTTGTGCCAGTCCTGGGGCTTGAACTCAAGAGCCTGGGCTCTGTCCCTGAGCTTATTTTGTACTAGGTTAGTGCTCTACCACTTGAGCCACAGCTCCATTTCCAACTTTTTTGGGGGTAGTTTAGTGAAAATAAGAGTCTCATAGATTTTCCTGCCCTGGGTTGGCTTCAAGCCATGATCCTCATATCTCAGCTTCCTGAGAAGGATTATAGATGTGAGTGAGCCACCTGCACCAGCTCCTCTATCTTTAATCAAATTACTTTTTTTGTATTGGGGCTTAAAGTCATAGTCTTGAAGTCTCTTAGCTTTTTCTGCTCAAGGTTGGCACTCTACCACTTGAGCCACACCTCTACTTCCAGATTATTGCTGGTTAAATGGAGATAAGCGTCTCCTGCACTTTTCTGACGGGGCTGGCTTTGAACTGTGATCCTCAGATTTCAAGCCTCCTGAGTAGCTAAGATTATAGGTGCAAGCCACCAGCACAGCACCTGGCTTTCTGTTGTTCTTCCTTTTCAGTGCTAGGGATTTAACCCAGGGTCTCACTCGGCTAAGCAAGTGGCCTACACTGTCACAACCCAGCCCTTCTCAGTCTTTGACAGGGAGCCTCATGAAGACTGTCCCCAGAGAGGCGGTGGAGCTGGGGTGGGAGCTGAGGGAGGATGTGGTAGGTGGAGCCCCCTCTAGTCTCCTCCCCCAGGCCTGTATGCATCTCTCTTCTGTGTCTTCTCCACTGGGTGCCCTCTCCTTTCCCATGTCTGCATCCACATCACCCTGAGTTCCTGTGTGTGTGTGTGTATGTGCGTGTGTGGGCACTCGTGGGTCACCTCCACCCATGGGCACCGATGGAACTTGTCTCAGTGGACATCTGGTCAGTGGGCTGCATTATGGCGGAGATGATTACCGGGAAGATACTGTTCAAGGGCAGCGATCGTATCCTCACACGTGGTTCGGCGAGGGGCTCATGCCTAGGTGGTGGGTGGTGAGTCAGTTCCCTCCCTCTGGCCCTGTGCTATGCTCCTGACCTTGGTGTAGACCTGGACCAGCTGAAGGAGATCATGAAGGTGACAGGGACACCCCCTGCTGAGTTCGTGCAGAAGCTGCAGAGTGACGAGGTCTGTGGGCAGCTGGGTGGGCAGCTTGGCCCAGGCCTGGGGGGTGTCCTGTCCCTTCACTCTGCTTCTCTCATAGGCTAAGAACTACATGAAGGGTCTTCCTGAGCTAGAGAAGAAGGATTTTGCCTCTGTCCTGACCAATGCAAGCCCTAAGGGTATGGCCAGGCAGCTGGGGGTCTGGGCCTTCCTGTGGCCTGGCCTGATGTGTCCCCCCTCCCCGCCCCCCAGCTGTGGATCTCCTGGAGAAAATGCTGGTGCTGGATGCCGAGCAGCGGGTAACTGCAGTGGAGGCCCTGGCCCATCCCTACTTTGAGTCTCTGCAGGACACGGAGGATGAGCCCAAGGCCCTGAAGTACGACGACTCCTTCGATGACGTGGACCGCACCCTTGAGGAGTGGAAGCGTGAGTAGGGGCGCCAGGTCCGGACCCCACATGTCCAGTCAGTGACTTCCTGCCTGGGGTTGTTGGGTAGGTGAGGAGGACAAGGTGACTGGAGGGGGTGTGAGTTGAGGCTTGGCCATGGAAGCAGGTGGGAACTTCCGTGCTGCAGCTCTGAGCTCTGTGCACCACTGCTGGCTACTCCTGGCCTCCCATCTGCTACTCCATTCCTGTGATGCCCAGCCTTTCCTACGTCCAGGTCAGAGACCTGATCTAGCCAAATGCTCCCCCGTGATGTCCTGCCTACAGGGGACAGCCCAGCCCTCGCAGCCCTGGGATTTGTTCTCCCTGCCTATACCAGCAAAGATTCAGGTCCCCCAAATGACTGCTCTTCGCACCTCTGGGACCTGGCTTGCTGTTCCATCATCCAGAGGGTCCTTCCTTCATCTTTTATTGTTTGTTCTCGTGAGGGTCCTGGGGTTTGAACTCAGAGCCTGGATACTATCCCTGGGCTGTTTTTTGCTCATGGCTTGTGCTATATTACTTGAGCCACAGATCATCAGGTGCTAATAGCTCATGCTTCCAATCTTAGCTGCTCAGGCTGAGATCTGAGGATCATGGTTCAAAGCTAGCCTGGGCAGGAATCTTATCTCCAATTAACCACCAGAAACCCGGAAGTGGCACCGTGGCTCAAAGTGGTAGAGCACTAGCCTTAAGCAGAAAAGCTCAGGGACAACACCCAGGCCCTGAGTTCAAGCCCCATGACTGACAACAACAACAAAAGTCTCACAGACTTTCCTGCTCCAGCTGGCTTCAGCCTCTAGTGCCTGACTATAGCTTCTGACACTGGGACTACCTATGTAACTGAGGTTGGTCTCAGACTTACTGTGTAGCCCAAACTGACTTCAAACTCTAAATACAAGGCTGGCCTCAAAACATTCCTGCTTCAGCCTCCTGAGGTGCCAGGATAACAGGTGTGTAATCCTACCACGTCTAGGCCCAACTCCTCTTCATCCTCAAGGGCCCGCCTCCCTTTGAGCTCTGACATGGAGCTGTTTTCTTCCGTCTCTGCTCCAGAATAACAGAGCAGCTTGAGGAGTGACACTGAGTCTCAGGTCTTGTCTGCCCATCTCCAGGTCCTTGACCCTGTACCTCTGAGTAGAAAGGCTGGGGGAGGTGAGGCTCTCAAACCGGCGTTCCTTAGGGCTGCCAGACTGTGGCTCCCCCCAGCGGGTGTTCTACCCTAATTGCTGTGTCATAGATCATGAGTTTGGTTCTGTGAAAGGCTTCTGCTGCAAAACAGATAACTTTAAAGCCACAAACCACAGGATCTTCTGTGGTCCTTCCGCCCCCCCTCCACATAGCCAGTGGCTTTTGCTTTTATAACAGACCTTGGTGAAACCTCTGGGCATAGAAACACAAGCTCTCATCACCTCCTGTTTCCTTGGGAAAAATCCAGCTTTGTAGCACAGCTTCCCCGAAGTGGTACAGCCTAATTAGGATTAGGGAGGTGCAGGCTTCTAGCCGCAGGTGAAAGCAAAGGCCAACTGTCCTGTCTACCTCTCCTCTGCAGGTGTCACTTACAAAGAAGTGCTCAGCTTCAAGCCTCCCAGGCACCTGGGGGCCAGGGTCTCCAAGGAGACAGCTCTGTGATCATCTCTGCTGCCATGGGGACACCCTAAGAGCTTGGGCTTCAAGGTGCCATCTCTCCTTCCTGAGAGGGGAACCCACAGTACCATCCTGGACTTTACTTGAAGTCTACTTGGAGAAAATGAGTCCCTCCTCCCCAAGCCTGCACTCTGGGGTCCCCAGCTAGCCTTGCTGGCCATCTGAGCTTTCTGTACAGAATTCTTACCCAACATTGGACTGGCCTTTGACCTCTGGAGCCATGCCCCTCCACCAGGGTGCACAAAAAGCTTCAAAGCTAGCAGGGCTCAGGAGCCAGTGCTGGCTTTTGAACCCTGCTGCACTGCACTATGTCTAGGCCAGTTTTTCAGAAAGGGAAGAAGAGGGAAGAAGCAGAGTGTTGATCAGGGACAGTACCTCTCCTTGGGGATGGCCAGCCTGGAATGTAAACTAGCCATTTTATGCTCACCTGGCTGACAGGAAATAAACTTTTTGTAGATACTCCATTCCATTCAGCCTGACGCCTACACCCCCCCCCCCCCCCCACCAATTAGGCCTCTGAGCTGCTGCTCTGTGCACAGAACAGAGGTAGTAAGCTGCCACCACAGGGCTAGTGCTTAAGCCAGAATCTGGTCCCCCTGCCCCAGGGCCAGGTGATAGTAAAGAAGTGTTAGGGTCAGGCCAACTGACCTAGGGAGAAGGGAACAACTCCTGTCTAATGGGGCACTGCCGATCATCACAGATCTGTAGGAGCTGGCTGGTGGCTCATGCTGGTCATCCCAGCTACTCAGGAGGCTGAGATCTGAGGATCGCCGTTCAAAGCCAGCCCAGGCAGGAAAGTCCAGGAGACTCTTTTGTTGTTGTTGTTTTTTGGGTCCAGTCGTGGGGCCTGAACTCTGGGCACTATCTGAGGGCACTATCCCTCAGCTCTTCAGCTCAAGGCTAGCGTTCTACCACTTGAGCCACAGCGCCACTTCCTGCTTTTTTTCCTTTTTGCTTATGTGGTGCTGAGGAATCGAACCCAGGGCCTTAGGCATGCAAGGCAAGAGCTCTACCACTGAGCCACCTTCCCACTCCCTAGTCCAGGAGACTCTTATCTCCAATTAACCTCCAGAAAACTGCAAGTGGCGCTGTGGCTTAAGTCGTAGAGCGCTGGCCTTGAGCTGAAGAGCTGAGGAACAGCGCCCAGGCCTAGAGCTCAAGCCCCACAACCGCCTTCCTCTGTAGTGGGGCTTCCTTCCTGCACCCCCTCCCCGCCCCCGGGCCCCCCCTGTGGGCCCCCGTGTCCCCCAGCCCCCCGGCGACCCCCGTGCCCCCCAGCCCCCCGCCGCCCGCCCCCCTCCCTTTCGACCCCCGTCCCCTGCACAGCGGAGGCCGCTCCGCGCGGCCCTGCTTGGGGCTCACACCGGGCCCCTAGGCTCCTCTCGGGGCTTCCGGGCTGCTCCAGGCTGGAGGCACCGGCCGGGGCCTCGCCAGAGCCTGGCGCCTCGGGCACAGCGCTGGCTCCGCGGCCGGCGGCTGAGCCGCTGACCCCCGCCGCGCCGTGTGCGCGGGTCGGACCGTCTGGGGCCGGCCCTGGGACCGCACGCGGGCGGCCGCCCGGAAACGCAGCCCCCAGCCGGTCCCGCCCGCTCTACGCCCCCGGGCGGGGCTGGCGGGGTGGTTGACTGGGGGCGGGAGGGGGGTGAGGGGCGGGGCTCTTGGGTATGGAGGCGGGGCGTTGGCGGGCGGAGGCTGAACAAGGGGCGTGGCTCTCGTTGCTACGGGGCGGAGCTTGGAGGGCGGAGGCGGGGTGGAGCGAGGGGCGGGGCTCTTGGGGCGTGGGGAAGGGGGGTGTACGGGCGGAGCAGGGGCGGGGCGGGCGGGGCAAGCAGGGTTAGGCACGGGGTGGGCGAGGTGTACGAGCAGGGCGTGGCGGAGGCGTGGCGGGAAGGCGGGGCTCCGCGCACGTCGGAGAAGCCGGAAGTCAGGCTCGAGCCCCGCCTGCCCCGGGATTTGCTGCCCGCCGGTGGCTTCTGCCGAGCCCTCGCGTCCCGCCTGGGCTCGGCGCCGGGGCCTGGGGCGGACAGCGGAGGCTGCGCTCTGCCACTGACCCAAAGTGGACGCGGCCATGGCCACCGCGCTCGTATACCACGAGGACATGACCGCGGCCCGGCTGCTCTGGGACGAGTAAGGGCGGCCCGGCCGAGAGGGGGCGGCGGGCGGGGCGCCGGGGGGCGCGGGCAAGGGGGGGCCCTGGGGTCCTCGGGGGGCCGGGTGTAGGGGGGCCGGGGGGCCCCTGGGGGGGTCCTCGGGGACCGGCTGCAGGGGGGCCGGTGGAGCCCCTGGGGGGTCCTCGGGGGGCCGGCTGTGGGGGGCCCAGCGGGAAGCTGGGGGGGGGGGAGGCCTGGCGGGGGTTCTCCTGGGGGTTGGCCGCAGGGGGTCCCGGGGGGGGGGGACGCCGACGGTAAGACCCGTGTCGGCCATAGCCCGGAGTGTGAGCTCGAGCGCCCCGAGCGCCTGGCCGCCGTCCTGAGCCTCCTGCAGCTGCGGGGCCTGGAGCAGCGCTGCCTGCGCCTGTCAGCGTGCGAGGCGTCCGAGGCCGAGCTGGGTCTGGTGCACAGGTCTGTCCTGGCCTCCTCAGGGTCACACGGGGTGGTGGGGGCTCAGAGCACGGTGCGGGGGGGTCAGGGGGTCGGGACAAGGATGGATACTCTCCCCGTCTCCTCCTCCTCTTCCTCTTCGGCCCGGGGCCTGCCTGCTCGCTGACCTGCAGCCCTGAATATGTGGCCCTGGTGCGGGAGACCCAGACCCTGAACGAGGATGAACTCCGGGCACTGTCTAAACAGTATGATGCTGTCTACTTCCACCCGGTGAGTGCACACTCAGCCTCCCGCCCTGTATGCACACCATGGCTGCAGCCCACCTGTGCTGTGGCTGAGCTTGCCAGCGCCCTGCCACGGCCTACTCGCCGTGCTTGCTGTCACTGCCAACACCTGAGCCTCAGCGCTCAACTCGCGTGCCCTGCAGCCTGGCACAGGCTGGGCAGGTGTGGGCTGACTTCACCCCCCCTCCCCCACAGAGCACCTTCCACTGTGCCCGCCTGGCTGTGGGGGCTGCACTGCAGCTGGTGGATGCTGTGCTGGCCGGAGCTGCGCCCAATGGGCTTGCCCTGGTGAGGTGAGAGCTGTCATGCCACAGCTGCCAGCCTCCCCATGGTGTCCCTGTGCGCTCCAACGTGTCCTGTGTCCCCGGCTCTGCATTCAGGCCTCCAGGACACCACAGCCACAGGGCAGCTGCCAATGGGTTCTGCGTGTTCAACAATGTGGCAATAGCGGCCAAACATGCCAAGCAGAAACATGGGCTGCACAGGTAAGGGCTGCAGGCAGGCTGCGGGGGTGGTGGAGGAGCTGGTGGCTGAGAGGTCACCCCTAGCCCTTCCTGTCCTTGGCTAGAGTGGGAAGGCCCTTCCTCTCAGTGATCCTCAGCCCTGTCTGATCCCAGGATCCTCATTGTCGACTGGGATGTCCACCATGGCCAGGGCATCCAGTATATCTTTGAAGATGACCCCAGGTGAGCTTGAGGCACAGACATGACCCTTCCCAGCACTTACCGCTTGTGGGGTATCCAGACTCTTTCTAGCACTTACCACTTTTGGGGGATCCAGACTAGTCTAAGAAATTCCAAATGGGGAGAAAGAGCCATGTGCTCAGATGTCAGAGTTCTGTGAAAAACTGTGGGACTGCAGAAGGCCTGATCTCTGACTCGCTTGGTTATCTTAGCGTCCTTTATTTCTCTTGGCACCGCTATGAATACGGGCGCTTTTGGCCCTTCCTGCGAGAGTCAGATGCAGATGCAGTTGGGCAGGGACAGGGCCGAGGCTTCACAGTCAACCTGCCCTGGAACCAGGTACCCAGCCCCTGCTTTCTATCCAGTCCACGTCTCCCCCTGCACCCCTGCCCCCAGCTCTGAGCCTCTTTCCTGGGATGCCCACTAGCGACTTCCCCCAGAATGTGGGTCCCAGGGATGTAGACTTTGAAGACCTCTTGGGAAGTTGGGCCCACCGATGCCCTCTCTGCCCTCGCACAGGTGGGGATGGGAAATGCTGACTACCTGGCTGCCTTCCTGCACGTACTGCTCCCGCTGGCCTTTGAGGTGGCTGCGTTTGGTGTGCCCCAGGATGGGGGCCTGTGCAAGGCCGGAAGACCACCGGGAGGCATTCCTCTCGTGCACGAATGGACCTCTCGGGGCTGGGGAGGGTTTCTCGGGGGTGGGGGGTGGCAGTGTCTGGAACTCAGGCTCTTTCTTGACCCTCCTACCGGGCTCTGCCTGTAGTTTAACCCAGAGTTGGTGCTGGTCTCAGCAGGATTCGACTCAGCCATTGGGGACCCTGAGGTAAGAGCCGCTGACTGGGAGGCTCTGGGGTCTAGATCCCAGGCCCTCACCACATGTGGCTCTTTGCTTCAGGGGCAGATGCAGGCAACCCCCGAGTGCTTTGCTCACCTCACACAGTTGCTGCAAGTGCTGGCTGGAGGCCGGGTTTGTGCCGTGCTGGAGGTAAGTGTCAGGAGTGCTCATGGGCCAGAATCTAGGCAGCAGCACCCGGAAGTGGGGCAGCTAGGTGTGAGATGGGGGGAGCCAGGTGTGAGGGGGCAGTACCAGGGGGGGGAGCCAGGTGTGAGGGGGCAGCACCTGGGGGGCCGGGGGGGGGGGCCGAGTGTGAGAGGACAGCGCCAGGGCCGGGGCAAGGAGCAGTGGGAGGGGCAATGCTTGGGATGGGGGAGGGGGGCAGGGGGAGGGGGCAGCACCTGGGATGGGGGAGGGAGGCAGGGGGAGGCAGCAGCTGTGAGGCGGCAGCACCTGGGATGGGAGGAGTCAGGTGTGAGACGGTCTGGTGGGATACTTGTATAGCTGTCCACCCCTGTGACACCTCTACCCTAACTTGTCTCCCCGCCTCCCCCCCTCCCCCCCCCAGGGTGGATACCATCTGGACTCCTTGTCCGAGTCTGTGTGCATGACAGTACAGGCGCTGCTGGGGGACCCTGGCCCTGTGCTGCAGGGGTCCATGGAACCCTGTCAGAGGTGCGAGGGTCACAGGGTGGAAGGGGCTGGCGTGGGCAGGCTCTCAGCTCTGATCTCCCTACAGTGCCCTGGAGTCCATACAGAGCGTCCGGGCTGCCCAGGCCCCTCACTGGACAAGCCTCCATCAAGGTCATTATGGCCTAGGCCCAGGCTGGAGGGTTCACCCTGGGCTCCTGTGTGGTGGTCGTGACTCTGAGTCTCCCTTAGACAGTGCCGCCGTGCCGAGTCCTAGCACCTGCTCCACTGAGGGGAGGCCGCTCGCTCTGCTTCCTGGGGGCCCCACCGGTGAGGCAGCAGCCCTGGGCCTGCTGGGTTTCCACCCCACACCTGCATCTCCCGTCCACATGGCTGTTGCTCTGACTGGGCCAAGTGCCACCCTGGCCCTGTCCCCTGAAGTGCTGCTTCAGGAGGAGGTGTCAGTGGGCAGGCAGGAGACAGAAGCCTGGGCCAGGTGGGCAGGGCAGGCCTGGAGGTGCCTCTGTTTTGTGCCTGCAACTGATGAACTGTCAGTTGGTGCACTTATTCCTCTGGCTGGCACATCACAGGCAACACGAGTCCCTGGCCCAAGACAAGGCCCTTTCTGCGCTTGGGAAGTTCCTGTTCCTCGTAGATGGGATCCTGAATGGGAAGGTAGGGTTGCTGGAGACTGGGGGCCATGAGTTGGGGTCTGTCCAGAAGAGTACTGTATGTACCGACTACACAGACAGATGGATGTGTTCTCAAAACAGCCCAGGGGCCAGGTGATGGTGGCTCATGCCTATAATCCTAGCTTCTTAGGAGGCTGAGATCTGAGGATCATGGTTTGAAGCTCAGCTGGGTGGGAAAGCCTGTGAGATCTTATTTCCAGTTAAGCCCCCACAAAGGTGCAAGTGGAGCTTTGGCTTAGGTGGAAGAACACTAGCCTTGAGCAGAGACTCAAGGAAGGACCCAGGCCTTGAGTTTATTTTTATTTTTTTTTGTCGCCTGTGGGGTTTGAACCCTGGGCTTGGGCGCTATCCCTCAGCTCTTCAGCTCAAGGTGAATGCTCTACCGCTTGAACCACAGCGCCACTTCCTGTTTTCTAGTGGTTTATTGGAGATAAGAGTCTCACGGACTTTCCTGCCAGGGCTGGCTTTGAACTATCATCCTCAGATCTCAGTCTCCTGAGTAGCTAGGATTACAGGTGTGAGCCACCGGCATCCGGTGACCTGAGTTTAAAGTGCTGGACCTACATAAAAACTGCAAAGGGATAGGAAAATGCTCTTTGGCAGAGTGGTGAAATGGATAGTTTAAAATATAGTCATAAGAATCTTATTTATAGAACTGGAGTGATTTAAGCCAGTTACCAGAGCCACACAGCTATAATCCTAGCTACTAAGCAGGATGAGATCTGAGGAGCATAGTTTGAAGCCAGTCTGGGCAGGAAAGTCCATGAGACTGTAATCTCCAATTAACAACCAAAAAGCCAGAAGTGGAGCTATGGCTCAAGTGGTAGAGTGCTAGCCTTGAGCACAAAAGGTCAGAGGCAGTGCCCAGGCCTCGGACTGTGCCCTAGGACTGGCACAAAAATTTTAAAAATAAAAATAAAGGAGTAATTTGATCTGAGTGTAAGAGACGGATGGAGTCACTTAGATGGGACCAAAAAAAAGTGGGAAATAGAGCTGTTTACCTGATTTGGAGTTGGCTAGCTCATCTCTTGTCTATTATTTATTCATCCCACAGGTGACCTGTGGCATTGCAGCCATCCCAGCCTGTGCTAAAGCAGCTACCTTGGATGTGGCCATTCGGCAAAGTCTGTCCCGTGGAGCTCAGAGGTGAGCTCACCTGGATATCCTGATCCTACAGAGGTGTGGCACTTGGGTACCTCCTGCCTAACTGGCCACATGAAGAGCAAGGGCCTGACAGTGTGAGCAATCTGACCTGGGCAACCTCTTTTTCAGGCTGCTCTGTTTGGTCCTGGGAGAGCTGGATTGGCCCCTGGACATTGCTGATGATGGGTATGATTCTAGTCACAGTGTCTCCAGTTGTGCATGTGGATGGGCAGGTAGCAGGCAAAGTCAACCATTTCTCCCCCCCCCCCCCCCCCCATCCCGGCCCCCAGGAGTTACTGGTAGGTAGGGCACTTTCCTGCCAGAATGGGATCTTCCACTGCTGAAGTTAAAGAGGGGAGCCTCTGGGAGCAATGTGCATCTGGGCTCAGAGGGGTGGTGAGCTGGCTCTGATGGTACACTTTCTCCTGGAAGGAGAATTCTGTGGCTGAATCTTGGAGGCAAGGAGACAGCTGTCCAGTCTGCGTTCCACATCTCCACACCATTGCCAGGGGTGAGTAGCTGTGCAGTTTGGGGGCAGATTAGCATCAACAGGTCACTAGTTCTTCCTGGCTCCATGTTCACACCCCAGGAACTCAGATTGGGAGATGCAGGAGCCAGCAAAAGTGTCTCCTAACTCAGAGACTGAGACTCTGCCTCTGTCCCCACAGACAACAGGAGGATTCCTGAACTACATCTTGGGTCTGGTACTGCCTTTAGCCTATAGCTTCCAGCCTGAGCTGGTGCTGGTGACAGTGGGGCCTGCCCAGGGGCTACAGGACCCCCATGTTGCTCTTCTGGCTGCAATGCTTCGAATTCCAGCAGCAGGCCGAGTCCTGGCTCTCCTGGAGGAGGTAAGCTGGGCATGATAGATATGCTGTCCATGGAGGCAGAAAGATACTAGTTCTTTATTGCCTGAATTTCTGCCTCTGGTCCAGGAATCTGCATCCCAGCTTGTAACAACCCTGGCTCCGGTGTTGCATGGAGAGGCACCTCCCAGCTTGGGCCCTTTCTTAATGGCTTCTCCAGAGGACATCCAGACCCTGAAATGTCTAAGAGCACAGCTGGAACCTCGGTGGAAGTTGCTGCAGGTGGCTAGCAAGGCTCAGGGGGAGGCAGGGTCCTGCCATAGAGTCCCATTGGGAAAACCACCTAGTGGAACCAACTACACAGATCAAGCCTGTTCCTAGCCCCTCCTCCAGGACTATGCTGTCCTGTAACCTAAGACTGGCCAAGTGGAAATGGTTGCTCGTGGGTCCTGCACAGTGGCTCCTCCTGCGCTCCCTCACGCCACAGCAGTAAAATCAGTTGAAGCTGGCCTCTTCCTCCTTTATTGAGCACTCTCAGGACCTTACCTTTCCTGCTAGACTCGGAAGCTCTTGTTTTTCCCCCTTCCTTGCGGGGGGGGGGGGGGGGGGGGGGGGTGTTTCTACACTTGAGAAAGCCTCCATCCCAGGGTACCAGGCTTAGACTTTTTTTGGGGGGGGGGGGCGTGGATCCTTGAACTCAGGGCTTCTTGCTATCACTTGGCCTTTTGGCTTGTGCCACGCCTCCAGTTTCAGCGTTTGGCTGTTGGCTGTTACGTGTATGGTTCCGTGTGTGCGCGCGCTGGTGCTGAGGCTTGGGTTTTTCTCTTTTTGGCCGATGCGGGGCTTGAACTCGGGCCGGGGCGCGGCCCCCGAGCTTTTTCACTCAAGGCTGGCGCCACCGCTCTACCTCCGGCGTCGTGGCGGTGAACTGGAGAGGAGTCTCAAACGTGCGACCTCCACCTCCGGAGTAACCGCCGGCGTGCGGCAGGCGTGGCCTCCCAGGACCCTGCGGGGCCTCAGCCCCGCAGCAAGGTTTGGCCGCGCGGCCCCGCGCGGATGACGCATTTCCGGCGCGCCCGCCCTCGCGCCTCGGCGGTCGCGTGGCTGGGGCGTCACGGCGGCGGGAGCGCTCGCGCAGCCTCTCCCGGCGGGTCTTCACCCGCCGCGCCGTCGTCCCCTCGCGGGAGTTCCTGAGGATGCGTGCGCGGCCGGGACTTCCGCGGAGCACCTCCGCGGGCACGCCCCGCTGGCGGGCACGCCTCGGCCGGTGACCCGGAGCGCTCACGGGCTGCAGACCTGAGGCGGACGCGGAGTCCGAGAGACCGGGTCCACTCCGGGGTCGCCGCGGCGGGGAGGGCGCGGCGTGCTTCCCCCTGCCCCGCCGCCGCCGCCGCCGCCGCCGCGGGCCTCCGACCGCGGCCCAGAACCGCAGGCCGCGGGGTGAGGCGTCCCCGGTGGACGTTGCCCGCTCCGGCGGCCCGGGCAGGGAAGGCGAGCATGGCCGGCATCACTCAACTCTTCGACGATCTGTGCGAAGCCCTCTTGCCGGTCACCCGGGCCCGCCCCGGCCTGCGCAGCGTGGACCGGAAGAGGGCGAAGCAGACCCTCAAGAAGGTGGCCTACAATGCCCTTTTCGCAGACCTCTTTCAAGAGGACACTCGTCAGCTGCGGCCCAACCTGCCGAAACTCCCAGTGAAAAACAAGGTCCTCATGATGTCCTTTGACTTGAGGGTGGGTGGCCTGGGCCCCGAGGCAGACCGCTTGGAGGAGCTCATGGAGGAGCTGCAGGCAGCCCCTGGCTGTCCGTTTGTGGAGGTGGGGTCGGTGTTGGAACTCCTGGTTCAGCTGGCTGGCAGCGGCCCTCCTCAGATACTGCGCAGGAAACGAGACTACTTCAAGAAGCATGCAGGTAGAAACGTTCCCTACAGCGGCTATGATTGCTGTGACCTGAGTGTGCTTGAGATGGATGTTCGGTCTCTGATCTCCAGAGAAGGGTATTTGTGTCAGAACATGATCCAGGAAACACTTCAGATGATGGAGGCTGCTCCAGGAACCCATCTGCCCACCATGGGGCACTTCTCTTTTGGTGACCCTTGTGGTGACAAGTTTGAAAGAGACACTCGGGTCTCACTTTTTGGTGCCCTGGTTCACTGCCGAACTTACGACATGGATGTGAGACTAGACCTGCCCCCAGTGCCAGACAGCGCAGACCTCTCTGGACTGGCCATTAAGGTATAGTCTGGGATTTGGAAGATGGTATTTGACTTTCCTTGTATCATAGTAAAGGCTGAGTAGCTCAAGTCCAGGTCATTAGGTGTCTTATCTACCATGGCAACCTGTCATGAGGCAGAACTGCTGGAGCGGGCTTACTAGTGCTCTAGTCCTCATGCTCTGTGGCAAGGAAGAATAGCTTGCTGCTTGCTTTTTTCTTTCTTTCTCCTCCCACCCCCCTCTTTTTGGTCAGTTGTGGGGCTTGAACTCTGGGCCTGGGCACAAGGCTAGCACTCTACCACTTGAGCCACAGTGTTACTTTCCGCTTTTTCTGTTTATGTGGTGCTGAGGAATTGAACGTAGGGCTTCATGCATGCAAGGCATGCACTCTACCATTGAGCCACCTTCCTAACCCCTCTTTCTTTCCTTCTTCCTCTTTCTTATGTTTTGGTGTTGTTGAACTTGAACTCAGCCTTGTGCTTTCTCACTGGCTGGGCTTTCTTGCTTGGCTGATTCTCTACCACTTGAGTCATACTTCCAGTCCTTCTGCAGACAGTTTCATGAACTTTTGTGGCTGGGCTGGGTTTTGAACTTCAGTCTTCTGGATCTCAGCCTCCTGAGTAGCTAGGATTCTAGGCATTGCTTTCCATCTTTTACCTAACAGGGTACGTTAAGTCTACCCCTAGAGCTATTAAATTTAATTAAAATGAAATAAGTTCTGTTTCACATGCAGCAGAAACATTTGTTTGTGACATATGTACAATTTGTTATACTTTTTCATTTGTAGCATGAGTATTTTTCCCCAAGTTATTGAGTAGACTTACTTTTGTATTTTATTGCTTTGCAAGCCTCCTTAAAAGGAGGCTTTGAGGGGCTGGGAATGTGGCTTAGTGGTAGAATGCTTGCCTTGCATGCATGAGGCCCTGGGTTTCATTCCTCAGTACCACATAAACAGGAAAAAAAAACAAAAAACCAGAAGTGGTGCTGTGGCTCAGGTGGTAGAGCACTAGCCTTGAGCACAGAGAGGCTCAGGGACAGTGCCCAGGCCCTGAATTCAAGCCCTAGGACTTTGATTATGTAAATAATGCTACAGTAAATCTGTGTAGGTTTTTCTGGGAGATAAATACATGTATGTGTATATATATGTATACTTCTATGTATATGGATGTTTTGGTGCCAGTCCTGGGACTTGATCTCAGGGCCACAGCTCCACTTTTGGCTTTCTAGTGGTTAAGTTGGAGATAAGAGTCTCACAGACTTTCCTGCCTGGGCTGGTTTTGAACCATGATCCTCAGATCTCAGCCTTCTGAGTAGCTAGGATTACAGGTAGGAGCTACTGGTGCCCTACAAGGTTTAGTATAATTTTCTCTCTCTCTCTTTTTTTTTTTTTTGGGGGTCCAGTCGTGGGGCCCAAACTCTGGGCCTGGGCGCTGTCCCTCAGCTCTTCAGCTCAAGGCTAGTGCTCTACCACTTCCAGCTTTTTTCGTTTTGCTTATGTGGTGCTGAGGAATCGAACCCAGGGCCTCATGCATGCAAGGCAAGCGCTCTACCACTGAGCCACCTTCCCAGCCCCTAGTATAATTTTCTATACTGGTTTCTCCAAAATGGAGTTTTCAAGCCAAGTGCCACAGTAATTTCCAGTACTGGCACCAAAAGAAAACCAAAAAATCCCACACAAAACTCAAAAAACAGAAAAAGGAATTTCTAAGTCAAAGACATTTCGTAGTTATATGTTGAGGCTATATGTGACGTAAAGTTTGAAAATGATAGCTTTGTACCATATATGGCTGGAAATTGATAACTTTAGTGGGGAACTTTATTTTTTCTGGCATTGGGGCTTGAACTCAGGGCCTGGGCACGTCCCTGAGCCTCTGCTTAAGGCCAGTGCTCTACCACTTGAGCCACATTGCCATTTCTGGCTTTTCCTGAGTAGTTTATTGGACTTTCCTGCCTGGGCTGGCTTTGAACCATTATCCTCAGATTTCAGGCTCCTGAGTAGCTAGGATTACAGAGGTGTGAGCCATTGGTGCCCGGCTTAGTGGGTAACTTTAGTCAATTACTTAAACCATTTATTGGTTTGGGGGGTAGGAGGAGAGATTGTGTATTTAGTACATATATACTAGAGAAAAGTAAAATCAGCATTCTGTTAGGTCTGATGAACAAATAGAAATATGTGGATAAAGTTCCTGGAGTTTTGTCACACTTGGATAAATATAGACACAAATGAATAGGTAGTGGTTTTTTCCTTCCTGCGGTCCCCAGGTCCCTCAGAGCATGGATCAGTGGGAAGATGAAGGGTTCCAGTCAGCATCCAATTTGACTCCTGATTCCCAGTCTGAACCAAGCATGACCCCAGATGTGGACCTATGGGAAGTTGCCCTCACATATGAGGCCAGCAAGCGGAGGTGCTGGGAGAGAATCGGATGGTAAGGTTTTCCTCTCCCTTTAAATTCCTTGCCCACTGTCATGTTATGGCTTCAATTGTGCTGTGGACATTGACATTGCTTACTGATCCCAGGCAGTGTTGAGGAGTCAAGTTAGTGTCCACATTGTCTGATGTAGGGAGGTGACAGATGCAGAGGGAAACAAGGGCCCCACTCTGCCAGTCACCTGTAGGGCACACTTGCCAGCCAAAGCAGTACGTATGTCCTTCTACCAAGATTACTAGCTAGGTGTCAAGGCAACCTGGCCAGTCGTGTGGTCAGTGCTCCCTGGCCAAGGAGCCTCCGTGCCAAGAAGCCATCAGAGTGGTGCTATGGGATATTGGAAGTTTAGTCTTTCCTCCAGTTGGCACTGGCAGCTTGAGTTTTCATTCATACCCTGGGTGTGTCTGAGGTCAGAGCACTCTGAACCCTGGGCCCTCTGAAGTGTTCTGTTAGCATGGGAGTAGAGAATATGCATTTTCCAAAGATTTGGCCATAAAGCCCTCTTCATACCCTTGTGCTGGTGAGTCTGGAACTCCAGTGAGGGAGCACTGAATTACAGAATCAGTCAGGACTGTCCTTTCTGCCTGAGGTAGCCTCCAGAGTCCTGCAGGGCCTCCTGGATGGAGCACATGATTGGAGGCAGTTTTAACCACCTCTGTGTGCAGTGCACTGCCCAGCAGTTGTACTTCTCCTAGGTCTGGTCATCAGCCTCCATTGAGATCCCATGGGTACTGCTGGCTTCCTTCATGCTTCTTTGGTAATGCTGACAGTCGCAGAAACTTAAGCATTTTTTTATTGTTATTATAAAGGTGATACACAGAGGGAATGTGGCTTAGTGGTAGAGTGCTTGCCTGGCATGTATGAAGCTCTGGGTTCAATTCCTCAGCATCACATAAACAGAAAAAAGCCGAAGTAGTGCTGTGGCTCAAATGGTAGAGTGCTAGCTTTGAGCAAAAGAAGCTCAGGGACAGCACCCAGGCCCTGAGTTCAAGCCCCAGTACTGGAAAAGAATAAAAAAGAAAAGGGTGATATACAGAGTGGCTAGTTATGGAAGTCAGGTAATGAGTACTTTTCTTTTTGGACAGTATAACTCCTTTCCTCCCAGTTTACCAAGAAAACTTGCCATTTGTCTCTGAGCCTGGCTTCCTTCACTTAACATGATTTTTTTCTAGGTCCATCTATTTCCCTACAACTATTATTTCTAATGGATGAGTATGATTCTATTATGTATATGTTAGCAATGGGCACCACATTTTCTTTGTTGTTGTTTTTTTTTTTTTTTGGGTCCGGTCGTGGGGCCTGAACTCTGGGCCTGGGCGCTGTCCCTCAGCTCTTCAGCTCAAGGCTAGCGCTCTACCACTTGAGTCACAGCGCCACTTCCAGCTTTTTTCTTTTTGCTTATGTGGTACTGAGGAATCAAACCCAGGGCCTCATGCATGCAAGGTAAGAGCTCTACCACTGAGCCACCTTCCCAGCCCTGCACCACATTTTCTTGATGCCATCCTTTGTAGGGCATCTGGGCTGTTTCCATACTTGGCCATTGTGAATAGTGCAGCAGTGAACATGGGTGTGAAAGTGTCTTTACCATGTCCTGATGTACTTCATCTTCTCAAGGGCCCCTGGCAGCACAGAAATGACTCTAGAGCTTTAGTACTAAGGGTCACTCTGACCATGAGCTCTAGTACTAAGGGACACTCTTTTTTTTTTTTTTTTGTCGGTCGTGGGGCCTGAACTCTGGGCCTGGGCGCTGTCCCTCAACTCTTCAGCTCAAGGCTAGCGCTCCACCACTTGAGTCACTTCCGGCTTTTTTCTTTCTGCTTATGTGGTGCTGAGGAATCGAACCCAGGGCCTCATGCATGCGAGGCGAGTGCTCTACCACTGAGCCACTTCCCAGCCCCTAAGGGACTGATCATGAGTTCCAGTACTAAGGGTCACTCTGACTACAGCTTTCATAGTAAGGAACACCTGGCTGTGTTTCACTTCAGGAGGACTGATGTTCCAAAGTGAGTCTTGTTATGTGTTGTTGTTTTGCCAGTCCTGGGGCTTGAACTCGGGACCTGGGCTCTGTCCCAGAGCTTCTTTTGCTAAGGCTAGCAGCATTTGTGGCTTTTTCTGTGTATGTGGTACTGAGGAATCAAACTCAGGGCTTCATGCATGCAAGGCAAGCACTCCAGCACTAAGCCACGTTCCCAGCCCCATTGTTTGTGACAAGATCTGCTATGTTGCCCAGGCTGGCCACAGCTTTTGAAATCACATGATCCTCCTGCTTTAGCCTCCCAAGTTGCTGGTACCACAGATGCTCACCTCTGCCACTGGCTCTTCAGATGAAGTGAGGGGCTAGAGCTGAGGTTCTAGTGGTAGAATACCAGCCTAGCAAGCAGGGGAGTTCTGAGTTTAAGCCCAGTATTTCCTCCCTTCTTCCACATGTTCCCCCCCCCCCCCCCTGCCCCCAGCCAGCTTAATATCTCTTTGGAGTTGTTGTTGTTGTTGATGTTATTGTTTTGAGTGTGTGTGTGTGTGTGTGTGTGTGTGTGTGTGTGTGTCAGTCAGTGTGTTAGTATGTCAGTTATGGAGCTTGAACTCGGCATGAGCACTGCCCCTGTTCTTTATTGCTCAAGGTTAGCTCTCTACCACTTTGAGTGATAGCTCCACTTCTGGTTTTTAGGTGGTTAATTGGAAATAATAGCCTCAGAGACTTTCCTGCCCTGACTGACTTAGAACTGTGATTCTCAGATCTTAGCCTCCTCAAGTATTACAGGTGTGAGCTGCTAGCACCTGGCTTTCATGGGCTGTTTTAACTGCTGGTTCTAGATTGGGCAGGCACATCTGGAGTTCACTGTGACAAAGCTCACTGAGACTGTCGACAGTCCATGTGAGTAGGAGAGTGGGGCCAGGCTGGCTAGGCAGGCTGTACCAAGCTGTGTCCTGGAGAACTGGACCCAGGGAGCAGCTGTAAGGCAGAGATCAGAATGGACCACCCTGAAGAGCTATGGGGAAGTGCAGACCTGTAGACTGCCTGGAGGTGGAGCCCTGCTTCTCTGTGAGAAGGTTGCGCTCGTGTTCAAATGAGCTCTGAGGAGGGGTAGGGTCACTGAGTTTTCTACCAGAGACACTAGTGTGCCGTAGACTAGATAGCTTCTGCAGCTATCCAAGGGCCTTATGGAGGCAAAGATCATGTTCCTTGCTCAGGACCAGGAGTCTGCTAAGTCTGAGTTCACCGCCCTTGGTTACTTTGCTGTCCATTTTGATCGTAACCTGATGACAGAACTCCTGACATCACAGGTATTTAGTCTAAGGCTGCAGTTGCAGTTCATTTGGCAGATCTTTTGGTCTTCTTTGAATTTAAATTCTTGTGGTGAGCTCTGAGCAGGGAGTTTAAACAGGGCCTGTCCGTGTACTCCCAGAGCTGGGCTGGTTGGAGACTCAAGTCACATGCCTGATAGAGTTGATTGCATCTGTGCTGAGCCTGGCTGATGCCAGCTGGGGCTGGAAAGTATGCTGGTACACGACACGTATCTTAGAGTTTGTAAGTTGTCACTCTTCACTTTCCTTTTTTCTGCTGTAACTGGGGTTTGAACTTGGCTGGTACCCTACCATTTGAGCCCTACCTCCAGCCATGCTTTTTGCTGGTATGAGCCACTGCCTGATTTGACTTAACTTCACTTTGTTCATTTTCACATGTGGGCTGCTCAGGGCTAGGGTTTCCACAGCCCCTTTTGACCACCTTCTGTTCTGTCTCCTCGCAGTCCTCCTGGCCACAGAGAAGAGCCCTACCTCACAGAGGCAGGCAGGGAAGCCTTCGACAGGCTCTGCAGACTCCGCCAAGGGGAGCTGCAGGTGCTCAGTGGGGGCCTTCTTCAGGCCCCAAGGCCTGTGCTAGTGAAGGAGAGCGAGCTGGTAAAGGATTCACTGAACGTCCTTCTGGGAGTTGTTTCTGCCACATTTTCCCTCTGCCAGGTGAGAAGCACTTGCTGGCTGACACAGGACCAGCCAGAGCACATGGGGGAGGGGGCCATGTAGGATGAGCTGCAGTGAAGTGAGCAGGTTGAGCCAGGAAGATCACAGATCACATGAGTTCAAGGCCAACCTGGACTACATATAGAAAACCTGTCTTTTTTTTTTTAATTTAAATTTTAATTTTTTGTGAACATACTGTACAGAGGGGAGAAACCCTGTCTTGAACAACAAAACAAACAGTTATCTTGGCACCCACAGCCAACTCAGGCCTTTGTGGTGGAGCAGGGTGTCCACGTGGCAGGCACCTCACCCGAGAGCATCTGCAGCATCCTGTCCCAGATAGCCGAGTACGGGACCCACTACATGCGCCTGAGCCACTTTTCTCTGCAGCCTGTCCAGGGCTCCATGTGCAGCAGAGGCCTCGTGTTCCAGGTACGTCTTCATGGGAACTGGGAAAAGAGAACCTCAGAGGTCTTGTTCTAGAACTCTAGGCCCCAATCTCAGGAGTAGGGTGAATGACAGTTAACTTTGGTATTGTTTGGTTTGGTTGGGTCCTTCTCCAATCAAAAGGAGGGTCTGTTTGTGGAAGGGAGGTCATAGGAGGAAGTAGCAGTGCGTCCATCTGGAGAGGGGCTGCAGAGGAGCCCCTGAGTCGCGTCTCTCACCATCACTCCACTGGACTCTGGGCCAAGGGCGCAAGGAGACAGGTGTGCCAGTGCTGGAAGGAAGGAACTTACTGTGAGGCAAAGCCATTTACTTTCCCTGGGCTCCTGGGCTCTGTCAGCTCCCAGCAGTGGGCTTCTGTCCTGACTAGTCCGTCTTCCAAGTACCCTGGGTTCTGAGCCAGGCCTCTAGGGACTCCTGTTTAGTTGCAGGGTCTGCAGCTTGTTTATATGCTGGTGGAATTCTATGGGTTTTTTGGGTGTAGCCAGGGAGTGGTGAACATGAGGAGCCGGTCTGCACGGTCCCCTTCCAGCTCTGAACTGTGGCAGGGTTGTCGGGTAGTAGTGACAGTCTGGGGTCAGGATTTAGACTCACAGGCTAGGGTGAGGCAGGGGCTGTGGTGGAGACCTTTCAGGTGAGTGGAAGCTCCAAGGGGACCAGGCTGGCGGCCATAAAGAATGAGCAGGGGGGGCTGGGAAGGTAGCTCAGTAGTAGAGCGCTTGCCTTGCATGCATGAGGCCCTGGGTTCGATTCCTCAGCACCACATACATAAAAAAGGCTGGAAGTGGCTCTGTGGCTCAAGTGGTAGAGCACTAACCTTGAGCTGAAGAGCTCAGGGACAGTGGCTAGGCCCAGCGTTCAAGCCCCATGACCACCATGACCAACAACAAAAAATGAGCAAGGGGTCTTAGGGACAGGGGCTGTGTTCCTTCCTGGTCACTTGGCACATGCCACACAACAGGAGAGGCGAGTCTGGAGTGGGCGGACCACGGTTTGTCACAAGTGACCCTGTCTGTGAGATGTGAAGTGCTGTGCTGCTATACACGGAATGAGGTCCTGCAGAGCCAGGACAAGGGCAGGAACCGTGGTTCTTGTCTGCTGCTTGGGCTTAACCCACAGGTGCCCACTGCTTGCAGAATGGAGCTGTCAGTCTCTGCGGCATGGGAGCACTGCTGTCCTCTAGGCTGGCTAAGCCCTTGCAGGGCTCCTGCTGCCCTCCTCCTGCCCGTCTGCCTCTTGTCCACAGGCCTTCACCAGTGGCTTGAGACGGTACCTGCAGTATTACCGGGCCTGTGTCCTCTCCACGCCACCTACCTTGAGCCTCCTCAGCATCGGCTTTCTCTTCAAGAAACTAGGCAGGCAGCTCAGGTGAGCCCTGACACGGGGCTTTGGGGAGTCTGAAGGCAGTGAAGATCCAGCTCTGTTTCCTGGCAGGAAGGACCCAGAAGGAGCCCTTGGGGCATCTGGTCTCCAAGTGCTGGATGCCATGTGGTGTGTCTGCTGTTTGCCCACGTCAGTGGCCCCAGAGACAGGGCACTCTTTTGTGGCCTCCAGCAGGCATACGGGAGATGGATGGGGAGAAGGGTGCAGCAGGAGCTGTGTGGGGAGCTGGAGACAGTGCCAGGCACAGCGGGTCTGTGAGAGTGGGGATTGCGGAGCAGAGTGCAGCGGGGTGGAAAGGGTCAGGCTCATGAGGAAGTGCGGTCATCCAGACCAGAGAGGGTGGCCATGCCAACCAGGCAGGAAAGGGTTTCAGGTGGAGCCACAGATTTGGCCCGAGTGGTGAGGGGGCCGGGTGTCGTGTGGGGGATGGCACGGGCGCTGTACCATTGTGGGATCTGGCAGGAAGTTCAGAACTAGTTTGATGGGTGCAGGTGGTATTTATTTTTTGTGTGTGCTGGTACTGGGGCTTGAACTATGGGCCTCTTAACTCCACTTCTTGCTCATGGCTGGTACTCTATCATGTGAGCTGCTCCTTTGCTTCTAGTCCCTTAAGGGAGCATAAAGATTTCCCTTGTCTGGTCCGATCCTGGCTGGAGCCTGGTCTTATCAACCTCTGTGTCTAGGTACCTAGCTGAGCTGTGTGGTGTTGGCACTGCCCTCCCGGGGACCACTGGAGGGGAGACCAGGGCTGCGTTCCCCACTGTGAGTCGTCTAGCTTTGTGGTGGCCCCTGACTGGGGGAGGGGGAACGGGTGGGGCTGAGCGTGGCCCCAGGCCTGCTGCTCAGCTTGGTGGAGTGTGGAGCACATGAGTGCTGTGCATGAATCCCTCTCCCATCTGTCTGTCTGCAGGGAGTGAAGTTGCTGTCCTACCTCTACCAGGAAGCACTGGACAACTGCAGCAATGAGCACTACCCTGTGCTGCTAGCCCTGCTGAAGACCAGCTGCGCCCCCTACACACAGTGAGTGGCACTGCAGGCCAGCCTGGGCTCCTACACACCGTGGGGGAGGAGGGAGGATCCTCAAACCTGGCACTGGCCTGGATATATGGACACTTGATGGCGTGCATTCCCTTGCCCTACTCACCGGTGTCTGGCTGTGGTGCCTGTCTGTTCCTACCCACTGCCCACCCACTTGCGGTTAGCCATGCCTACTCTGAGCTTCTCACCACATTGCTCACCTTGTCTGTGGCAGGTTCATCCATGACTGGGTGTACAGTGGGGTTTTCAGAGATGTTTGTGGGGAGTTCATGATCCAGGTGAACCACGAGTACCTGGGCTGCAGAGGTAGGTTGCAGCAGGTTGCCTGTGCTGGGTCTCTGCACCCATAGACCTGAGGTCAGGCTCATAGAGCCACAGGTCATCAGTGTTGTCCCACGTTAGACAAATTCTACTGGACCCATGGCTACGTGCTCATTTCCAAAGAAGCAGAAGACTGTGTCCCCGTGTTTCTGAAGCACATTGCTCACGACGTGTACATCTGCGGGAAGACCATCAACCTGCTGAAGCTCTGCTGTCCCCGGGTGAGGTTTCCCAGCCACACAGGTGCCTCAGGGAGGGGCTGTGGGAGGCCAGCGCTGTCCAGGGATGGCCTCTGATGGGTCAATACTAGTGTATCTGTAGCCATGCTTCCTCTGCATGGGAGACAGGCAATTTCACCGGATCTTCACTCCCTTTGGGAGGGCCATCTGTGGGAGTCTGCTAGCCTTTAGCATATACACACACACACATGCATGTATGCACGCACGCACATGGTGTCCTTGGATGGGTATGCATGGTGGGGCCTGCCTGTAGTGTCCCAAGTGGGAGACTTGCTCTTTGGAGACACTGGAGGAGTCGCTGCTTGTAGGTTTAGCAGTGAATTTCCTGAGGAAATAGTGTGACTGTCAGTAGGCATTGCTAAAACACAGCAGTGCCCAGTCTTGTTCCTCTTGTCTCTGGCCCTCTGTGCTGCTCACCGCAGCTCTCTCTCTTTGGCAGCACTACCTCTGTTGGTCTGATGTCCCTGTACCTCGCATCTCGGTGATTTTCTCCCTCAAGGAATTGAAGGAGATTGAGAAGGACTGTGCTGTCTATGTTGGGCGAATGGAGAGGGTGGCCCGCTACAACTCTATCAGCAAGGAGGAGAAGGTGCTTGGCTGTGGGGCTCAGAACTTCCTTTGCTGCCTCCTGGTCCCAGGCTGGTGGCTGGGTGTGGGATGTGGGACATGGAACATGGTGGTCCTAGTGGTGGGTCTTGGTGGGGCCACTAGTGGTGCTTGGCTGTGTGTTAAGCAAGGTCAGAGTGAGTCTGGTGCCCGGGCAGGGGGTGGGGTTCTGTTCCCTCTTGGGTTTGGTGGGCTGTGGGCCTGCATTTCAGGTTTTGCTGACATGGTGGTTGCCTCACTGAGTCTTCCCTGGGGTACTGTAGCTGTGGACAGACCAGTCGGGTGGGTCTCTGCACTGGAGTGGCCTCTGCACGACCTCTACTTAGAAGGGCTGATGTACCTGGAGTAGAGCCACGTTTCTCAGTGGGCTCTGGGGCGGGGGGGGGGAGATGGGTCATAAACCATGTCCCAGGGAAACTTCCTGGTCTGGTGCCCAATGGGGGAACCCAGCAGGGGGTAGACTCGGGAGGTTGAGCCCAGAAGCCCCTCTGACTCCCTAGATACCCTCCTGTAGGACACACAATCAGGGCCTCAGCTCCAGTCAGATTGCCAGAGCCGCCTCATCACTACAGGCCAGAGGTCTGTCTGCCCTTGCCTGATAGCCTGTAGAATGCAACACCTGCTAACTCCAGTCTGTGCAGGTGTTGATGTATTGTAACATGAAACAGCAGAGTGTTCCAGGCACTAGCCCCTTTCTAGACTAGCCTAGGAGAGAGGACAAAGAATTGGGAAGGTTTGCTTGTTCTGCAGGAATTACGTATGGAAATTGCCAAGCAAGAACTAATTGTCCATGCTCGGGAAGCCGCATCCAGGGTGTTGAGAGACCTAAGTGGTAAGTCTGGCTTCCCGCCTTGTGGTCTGGGGACCACCTCAGGGGCACCTCGCCACTGTGCTCCTGCCCTCCCCATGCAGACCGCCAGGTGTCTGAGCAGATGGCCCTTGATGCTCGGAAGCGGGAGCAGTTTCAGCGGCTGAAGGAACAGTTTGTGAAGTCCCAGGAGGTGGGTGAGCTGGCCCATGGGTGAGTGGGTGGTTCTGGCCCCTGGACCCCCTGAGGAGTGAACAAGTATGTGTGTGTGTGTGTGTGTATGTGTGTGTGTTATGTAGCGACTCCTGGCAGCCAGACAGGAGGAGATGGATGATGACCTGAGCACTGCCCCGGAGCTCCGTGACCGTGAGAAGAGACTGAAGGCCCTGGAGGAGGAGCTAGAGAACAAGGCCAGGTGAGGATCAGGGCTTAGAGTGTGGCTTTAATCTTCCGTTTTTGTTTTTTGTGTTGATACTGAGGTTTGGGCTCAGCGTCTTACATGCTCACTTGGCTTTTTCATTCACAGCTGGTACTCAGCCATTTGAGCCATACCTCCAGTTCTGGCTTTTTTTTTTTCTGGTTAATTAGAGGTAAGAGTCACTTGGATTTGTCTGTCTGAGCTGGCTCCAAACCATGATCCTCGATCCTCAGCCTCCTGAATTACAAGTTTGAGCCACAGGCATCTGGCTAGGGTCTATCTTGATGATGGTTTTTTACTATTCTTTTCTTCTCTTTGTGGCCCAGAGCTCACTAGGGAAACACCTCTACCACAGAGCTTTATTCCCAGCCCATTATTTTATGTTTCAGTTTGAAAAATTGCAAGCATTTGTCAGGGTGGAAAGACCTAGCTGTCTTGGAATGTCCGATAGTTGGTTTATCTGGACTCGAGTCTAGACAAGGCCCACACAGTGAGTTTGGTGTCCTGAATCTGTCTTCTGGTTTACCTTAAACAGAAGCTGTCTATTGTAAGCTTATTATTGGCCCAAGAGGGAAAGATAGGCCATTTACCTACCATAGTTGTGTGTGTGAGTGTGTATGTGTGTGTGAGTACATGGGCTTGCACTTGCTAATACAGGGCATAACCTGAGTCTTGTTCCTTAGCTTTTTCCACTCAAGGCACTAGCCTTGAGAAAGCTCAACTTCCACAGTTCTACTTCCAGCTTTTGGTGGTTAATTGGAGATGAGAATCTCATGGACTTCCTGCTGTGGCTGACTTGGAACCATGATCTTCAGCTCTCAGCCTCCTGAGTACCTAGGATTTCAGGCCTGAGCCGCTGCGCTTGGCTAGTAGAAGCTCTGAATGGGAGGTGGTGGTCACTTTTTGCTTGGCACTGTCAGACACTCAGGAGTCCCAGCCTTAGACATAAGGAGTGTGCCTTGTGCAGAGCACATGCTAGGAACATGTGGGGATACACAAGTAGATGATGTGTTTATACAAGAAAATCATGCAGGGGCTGGGAAGGTGGCTCAGTGGTAGAGCGCTTGCCTTACATGCCTGAGGCCCTGGGTTCGATTCCTCAGCACCACATAAGCAAAAAGAAAAAAAGCCGGAAGTGGCGCTGTGGCTCAAGTGGTAGAGTGCTAGCCTTGAGCTGAAGAGCTGAGGGACAGCACCCAGGCCCAGAGTTCAGGCCCCACTACTGGACCCAAAAAAAAAAAAAAAAAAAGAAAATCATGCAGAATGTGTCGTTGGCCTGTGATGGTCAGCCAACCAGTAGCCCTGCAGGTGGGAGGTTCAGTCACTTGGTTGTCATTGGTTGGGCTCTGTGTACCTTTTTGCATTGGTCTTCAGATAGGAAGTACTTACTGTGCAGTTTAGAAAGCAGGTCCTGGGTGCTCAGGGCTGAGGCTTCAGCTCCCGCTCTTTCCTTAGCGTCACTCTTTGTGAGTCTCCTGATATTTCAACAGACATTTCCCGAGTCACATTAGGGCATTTACCAGCACCACCCAGTCTGTGGGCAGAAAGACCTGCTAGCCAGGGCTGAGGCTGGTGCTGGGAGGCAGGGTGTGTGGAGGGGACGCCACGGGGCCACCCCTCTGTTTAGTGCTGAACACCCCAGTGTTCAGGGTGACTGGTTTTCATGTGACTCAAGGCAGGCGCTGGTTGACCATTATAGCAAGTTGTCTGCAGAGGCAGCTCATCGGGAACAAAAGGCACTGTGGAGGATCCAGAGGCACCGCCTGGAAAGTGCACGACTTCGTTTCCTCCTAGAAGATCAGAAGCAAATCCAGGTATTGGTGGTGGCGTTGGGCGTCTGCTCTTCCCTGGGTACCATGTGCCTGAGCTCCTTAGAATTACACGCAGACCTATGTGCCTGTGTTGCTCCAAGGTTCTTACCGGTTTGCTGTGGGGCTGCAGCTGTTGCTCCCTCTGCTGTTGCACTGACACAGATGGGGAGGAGCTGGTGCATGCTGACATTTGCTGTGACGCAGGCTCACATTCAAGCCCCACTTGTGTGTGGGCTATAGCACCATGGCTTCTGGTGGTGGATGAGGGTGCTGTGTGGAGGCCAGGCCAGATGTCAGCTGTGCTTTTCACTCTGAAGCCTCTGTCTTCTGCTGGCTTGAATTTCAGGGGATGCTGAGAGACAGGTCGGAAGCTGGTCAGCCCCAGGAGACTCTGGGTATTCTCCCCATCTCACATGACCAGGTGAGAGGCTGCCGCACAGTGCAGGACAGTGCTATGACTGTGTCCCTTTGGTACTTGTTGAATATTGGCAGCAGTTACAGAGCTGGGCTTGGGATATGGGTAGATGACTGGAGGGAGGCTACGTTGGGTCCAACATGTGTTCCAGGTCGCATCTCTAGGATCTGAGCTCCCAGATGGAGGCTGTGGCCATCAATCAGTTCCCACAGAGCAGCGGGCCAAGCAGGATTGCCTAAGCAGGCCAAGTGCACACACCCCACAGTCCCCTGAGTCTCAGGCAGTCGGGGATGAGGGCTCCGGCTCTGAACCATTTCCTGCTGTCCTCAACATCGTGGATTTCTTGCCTATGGCAACGGGGTCTAAGCAGGCCATGCCAGATGCGGGAGCCCCCCTCCTGGAAGAGGCACTGCAGACCATCTGTGCAGACCTCACCCCTGTTGCCCCTGGGCAGGCACCTGCAGCTACTGGCAAGCACACTACCCCAGTGGAGTATGATTTCAGTACTGTCCTGAGGCCAACTGTGGCCACTTTGCCTTCACCAAGGCTCTTTCAGACTATCCAGGGTAGCTTGGGCAGTACAGAGCATCCATCAGGACACACACAACTGAAATTGGATGTCTGTGCCTATAACACACAGAAGCCTCTACCTTACCTGCTCAGATGTGTCAGTCCTGAGGCAGGTAGTCAGCCTATACAGCAGCTCCTTGAGCAAAAGGCAGAGGCTGCTGCACCCACAGAGGACTGTGCTTCTGGAATGGCTCTGTCCCGGCCACAGTGGAACATCCACGGACATGCATCGGATGCCAGCATCAGGGTTGGGGAGAACGTGTCAGACGTGGCTCCTGCCCGGCCACGGTGGAGCGTCCACGGACATGCATCGGATGCCAGCATCAGGGTTGGGGAGAACGTGTCAGACGTGGCTCCTGCCCGGCCACGGTGGAGCGTCCACGGACATGCATCGGATGCCAGCATCAGGGTTGGGGAGAACGTGTCAGACGTGGCTCCTGCCCGGCCACGGTGGAGCGTCCACGGACATGCATCGGATGCCAGCATCAGGGTTGGGGAGAACGTGTCAGACGTGGCTCCTGCCCGGCCACGGTGGAGCGTCCACGGACATGCATCGGATGCCAGCATCAGGGTTGGGGAGAACGTGTCAGACGTGGCTCCTGCCCGGCCACGGTGGAGCGTCCACGGACATGCATCGGATGCCAGCATCAGGGTTGGGGAGAACGTGTCAGACGTGGCTCCTGCCCGGCCACGGTGGAGCGTCCATGGACATGCATCGGATGCCAGCATCAGGGTTGGGGAGAACGTGTCAGACGTGGCTCCTGCCCGGCCACGGTGGAGCGTTCACGGACATGCATCGGATGCCAGCATCAGGGTTGGGGAGAACGTGTCAGACGTGGCTCCTGCCCGGCCACGGTGGAACGTCCACGGACATGCATCGGATGCCAGCATCAGGGTTGGGGAGAACGTGTCAGACATGGCTCCTCAGTTACTGCAGGACACCCATGGGTGCAACTCTCAGTGCCCCATGATTCCAGAAGCTGAGCCCAAACCTCCCAGGTCCCCCCAGAATCCTGGCCTTACCCCGGAAACACACAGCTCTGCTCTGAACTGTGGGCCACAGCTGCCTGAAGACGTGGGGCCTGCCTTCTACCCCTCAAGCCCAAGTGGTGTGGAGGGCAGCTTGCAGACCAGGCCCCCTGCTGCAGCTGAGCCCCGGGTTCTGGGAGATCACATTCCTGAAAAGCCAGGTCAGAGGGAAGCTGGAGGTCAGGGCGGGCGTGTCCTCGGCCTGGGAGGCAATGCTGTGTGAAGCCGCTCTTGTGGCTCCTTGTCAGCTAGGACCAAGCTGCATTATGGGGTTTATGGAGGGGCTGCTTTGACTGTCCTTGTGTCCCTCCAGTAGGGGGGACCTGATGCACCCTGCTGTCCATTTGTATCTGCTTAGGCCCAGGGGAGAATGGAGGCAATGGAGGCAATGCAGACCTCTCTCCAGACCTGCCCAAGAACTCAGAGGTGAGGATGGACGGCATACAGGGTTGGGAGTGCACAGAGGATCACTGTGAGGCTCCCAAACAATGCTAACTGCATGCTGGGTAGGAAGCTGGTTCTTTTTTTTTTTTTGGTCGGTCATGGGGCCTGAACTCTGGGTCTGCGTGGTGTCCCCTCAGCTCTTCAGCTGAAGGCTAGCACTCTTACCATTTGAGTGTCAGCCCCACTTTTGGCTTTTTCTGCTTATGTGGTGCTGAGGAATTGAACCCAGGACCTCATGCATGCAAGGCAAGCACTCTACCTCTGAGCCATCTTCCCAGCCCCGAAGCTGGTTCTTTGAGGTTGGCCTTTTTTTCAGGAAGAGACAGTGAGCCCAGGTTGCAGTGAGGAGGTGGTGGACACAGATGTGGAGGCAGAGGCCAGGCGCCAGGAGGAGGAGCAGGCTTACCTGGCAGGGCTTGCCCGGCTGTATCATCTGGAGCAGTACCCAGACAACTACGAGTCTCTGTGTGAGTGGACTGGCTGCGGGGACAGGTACAGGGAGCTGTAGGTCCGCACATCCCGAAGCTGCCAAGTTCATTCTGTATCCCACAGCAGAGCCGCCTCTCGCCCACCTGGTTCACCACGTGCTTCCCCAGGCCTTCGCCCTCCCTGTGGACCCCCAGATCCAGTCAGCTGTGGACGAGACGGTGGTCCAGCTGAGTGAGCTGCTGACGCTGCCTGTGCTCATGAAGCGCTCCCTCACGGCGCCGCTGGCCGCCCAGTGAGTGGCACCTGCTGTGTCCCCCCCCCCAACCTCCCCAGCTAGTCACCTCCGCCTACCACTCTGACCCCAGACCCCTCCTGCTAGTGTCTCCCTGGTGAACAAAGCTGCAGTGGACTACTTCTTTGTGGAGCTTCACCTGGAGGCGCACTTTGAGGCGCTACGGCACTTCCTGTTGATGGAGGATGGAGAGTTCGCTCAGTCCCTTAGTGACCTGCTCTTTGAGAAGGTGACCCCGGGTCGGAGTTGAAGTGGGCCTGGCCCATGGTGACCAGTACCCCAGAATTGGGACAGCCCCGGGCAGCATTAACCAAGCCACTCTGTGGGCTTTGGGGACAGTGCTTCTCTTTCCTGCTGCAGCTCGGGGCCGGGCAGACCCCGGGGGAGATCCTCAACCCGCTGGTCCTCAACTGCATCCTGAGCAAGGCGCTGCAGTACAGCCTCCACGGGGACACCCCTCACGCGGCCAACCTGTCCTTTGCCCTCAAGTACCTGCCCGAGGTGTTTGCCCCCAATGCCCCAGATGTGCTGAGCTGCCTGGAGCTCAGGTACAAGGTGCGTGGCGCCCTGTTGTGGGGGTGTGGGAGGCCTGTCCTGGGGGTCAGGCTCTTAAGTGCAGCTTCCTGAGCAGGTTGAGTGGCCCCTCAACATTGTCATCACCGAGAGCTGCCTGAGCAAGTACAGTGGCATCTTCTCCTTCCTGCTGCAGCTGAAGCTCATGATGTGGACGCTGAAGGACATCTGCTTCCACCTCAAGCGCACAGGTGAGTGCTGGCCGGGCCTGCCCACCCGGGTGTGGCATGGGCTGCTGCTCACCATTTGCCCTCCCCCAGCCTTGGTGAGCCAGGTGGCCAGATCTGTGCAGTTCCGCCAGCTGCAGCTGTTCAAACACGAGATGCAGCACTTTGTGAAGGTCATCCAGGGCTACATCGCCAACCAGATCCTGCACGTCAGCTGGTGTGAGTTCAGAGCCCGACTGGCTGCAGTGGGCGACCTTGAAGAGATCCAGCGTGCTCATGCCGAGTATCTACACAGAGCCGTCTTCAGGTGAGGTGCGGGGTGCTGAGCCTGGGCATGCCCTGAGGTCCTGCCAGGCAGCTCAGGCAGCTCACTTGCAGTCCTCCCTCCTAGGGGCCTGCTGACAGAGAAGGCCGCGCCGGTCATGAACATCATTCACAGCATCTTCAGCCTGGTGCTCAAGTTCCGGAGCCAGCTTATCTCTCAGGCCTGGAGCCCAACCAGTGGACCCCGAGGCGCAGAACACCCCAACTTTGCCCTCATGCAGCAGTCCTACAGTACCTTTAAGTACTATTCCCATTTTCTCTTCAAAGGTAAGGCCTCCCCGGGGCAGAGCTGGAGGGGGTGGGCAGAGGGGGGGTGGGCAGGAGCTGACCAGCTGCTGTGCACCCCCCCAGTGGTTACCAAGCTGGTAAACCGAGGCTACCAGCCCCACCTAGAAGACTTTCTGCTGCGGATCAACTTCAACAACTACTACCAGGATTCCTGAGGCCGATCAGACTAAGGTGCCATCCTGCTGGGTTTCTCCTGGGCAGGCAGGGATGTTGGCAAGGAGGGGAGGGTAGAGTGAGCACACAGATAGGCCTGAGAAGCTGCTGCTTTATTTAGGAGCTTGGGAGTTGCGCTCAGCAGGGGCTAGGCCTGGATAGACAGGCTGTCGGGTCTGTGCAGGGCCCGACCCTCTACCTCATCCTTAAGTGTGAGGCTGAGCCCTTGTCCTCACACAAAGCAGCTTGGGTCAGGGTGGTGCTGCTGAGCTGCTGTCAGACAGAGAAGGGTCAGGTCCTGACTGGAGATCTCTGCCGCCATAGAGAGCGCCAGGGGCAGCCTGGGCGGTCTCAGCAACTCAGCAGTGCCTGAAGGCCTCGGGAGACTCAAGGCTGTGAAGGACTGTGTCACCCGAGGCCGCTATGAGGATCATGTCACACACAGCTCTGCTGCCCACAGCGGGGGCTTGCTGCTGTAGGAGCACTGCCCACCAGAAGCCCCATCAGGGCTGGTAGCCTCCAGTCCGGCGGTGGCCTCCCCGTCTCTGTGGTAGGGGGTTTCCAGCAGCTTCAGCACGCGGCGCACCTGGAAGAGGGCCGGGTGAGGGTCAGGGCCCGCTCCCTCCTGGAGCTAGGCCGGACGCAAGCCTGTCCTTACCTCCGAGAAGTCTCCGTTTTCAGCAGCCTCAATGGCCTTTTGGGCGATGTAGTTCCTCAGGACGTACTTGGGGTTGTTCATGTGCATAACCTGCACACGCTCAGCCTGCCAGGCTGCAGTGTCACCAGCCCCCTCCTTGTCCTTGTCCAGCCGGGCTCTGGAATTACATGCCAGTGGGCTTTCAGCAGGCCTCGCAGGCCTCCTCGGTGCCAACTGTGGCCCCCGGTGGGTGTGGCACTGAGGAACAGCCCGGGGCCCCCCCCACACCCACCTGTACTCCTGCAGCCAGGCGGTCCAGTGCTCTTCGTTTCTGTTCTGCAGCTCAGCAGGGCTCAGCTGCTCTAGCCGAGACTGTTGCTCCATGCGTTCCAGCTCCTTTGTGACATTTGCCTGGGTGCCAATGAGTGCAAAGAGCTGTGGGTTCGATTGTGCCAGCATCAGCATCATGGAGAGTTGTCTGCATGGAAGGGCAGCGGGGAGAGCGCCTCAGCCAAGAGCAGCAGAGGGATGGGGCCTGCCCGGCTGTGAGGCCTGGGTGGGCAGCCCCACACAGATGCTGCAGTCTGGCTGGAGAGGACAGGACATCTGTGAGAGTCTCCAGCTACATGCCACTTCCACCCTGCTTGTAGGGAGGTCATGTCCCTGCTCCCCACTAAACTCCTTCCCGTATGACCAGCCTGTGGCTTTTTTTTTTTTTAAAGCTTCAACAACTACCATGTTGTCTCATCCTGGGCGGGAGCACTTGACACCCTGTACTCATCCTGTGGGCAGTGGGGCGGAAAGGCATGGTCTGTCTAGGCTGTCGGGCCGTAGGCTCTTGCCAGGCAAATCAGACAGTCCTCCAGCCCCTGCATGTCAGGATCTCTGTCCTCTCCTGCCAAAAGACCCAACACTGCAGGCAGGAGCTGACTGCACTGGGTGTGCATCAAAGACTCCTACAGTCTCTCCTGAGAGTGTTGTCAGTGTTCTCAGCAAACCAGTTTCCAGGAGGTACCCACCTGGGGTCCATCTGGGGCCGGTAGGCAAGCTTCAGCTCCTCCAGGGAGGCACACTGTGAGGTCAGCACGGCCAGGAAGTCTGACAGACCCGCCTCGGTCTCCACTGGGAATGTGCTCAGCACAGAGAAGGTGTTTGTGAAATCAGCACCTGGAATGTGAGCCACTAAGGTGCTGGGAAGCAGTACTAGGCCCTGGCTTCTTCCCAGTACAGGTCCCTCCTTCCCAGTCCCATTCCTAGGCCACCAGGCCCTGTGAAATCTCAAGGATGATCCTAAATCCTAGAACCTAGGAGGGTTTCATAGCAAGATCCTGTCTGAGGGCTGGGAAGGTCGCTCAGTGGTAGAGCGCTTGCCTTGCATGCCTGAGGCCCTGGGTTCGATTCCTCAGCACCACATAAGCAAAAAGAAAAAAGCCAGAAGTGGCGCTGTGGCTCAAGTGGTAGAGCGCTAGCCTTGAGCTGAAGAGCTGAGGGACAGTGCCCAGGCCCAGACTTCAGGCCCCACGACTGGACCCCCCTCCCCCCCCCCAAAAAAAAAAAAAGATCCTGTCTGAACCGAAAGTGAGACGGAATCCATCGGGTACAAGTCCATGCCGCCTAGACGACCATTATTTCAACTCAAATAGGTGAAGAGATACAAAGAAATGTTCCAGGGCTGGGAAGGTGGCTCAGTGGTAGAGCGTTTGCCTTGCATGCATGAGGCCCTGGGTTCGATTCCTTAGCACCATATAAGCAAAAAGAAAAGAAGCTGGAAGTGGCGCTGTGGCTCAAGTGGTAGAGCACTATCCTTGGGTTGAAGAGCTGAGGGACAGCACCTAGGCCCATAGTTCAGGCCCCAAGACCGGACCCAAGAAAAAACAACAACAACAAAGAAACGTTCCATGCAAAGAGACCTAACAAGGATGCCCACTTTTGTTGCCCCTGTTGGAGTTGTAGCCAGGGCTTCCAGGTAAATTAAGCATGTGACCCAGTAATCCCAATTAAGAGACCCAAAAGGAAAGCAGGGATACTAGTGTTTGTGCTTATTTTCAAAGCTGCAATTCAGATTGCCAAAAAGATGCAGACGCCAAAGTACAGCATTTGACTATGGCTAACCAAATGTCCGTCCATGTGATAACATTAACAGCATTATAAAGGAATAATATTCTGATGATGCTAACTGACAAAACAAAGGGACAAATTGTGAATTACTAGTGTGAGGAGTCCCTAGAGTAGTCAAATTCAGAGACAGCACAGCAGTGGGTGCCGGCCAGGTGGGGTGGCTAGGGAATTAATGTATAAAGAAGATGAAGTTTGGGAAGATTACAAGCAGTGATGGTCACACACAACAAATACATCCAAGCCGGGTGGCGGTGGCTCACACCTCTAGCCCTAGCTACTCAGGAGGCTGAGATCTGAGGATCATGATTCAAAGCCAGCCTGGGCAAGAAAGTCTATCAGACTCTCATCTCCAATGAACCACCAGAAAACCGGAAGTGGCACTGTGGCTCAAATGGTAGAAAACATGCCTTGAGCTGAAGAGCTCAGGGACAGCGGCCAGGCCCAGAGTTCAAGCCCCACAACTAAAAAAAAAAAGAGACCCAGATATGGCTAAATGGGTAAAGTGTGTCCAGTCACAAAGTGAGTTTGGTGCCGGCTCCATTGGCTTACTGGTCAGGCGTATGGTCTTCAGGAGCCTGGCCTAGTGCCCTGTCTTCCTCTCGTTCCACTCACACAAGGTGAGTCTGGTGCTGGCTCCATTGGCTTACCAGTCAGGTGCATGGTCTCCAGGAGCCGGGCCACTAGTGCTCGGTCTTCGTCTTGCTCCATTCGCACGAGGCCCAGCTTCCTGCGCATCTTCTGCAGGTAGTGCTTCTGGAACTCAGCATCAAACTCCTCAGCAATGATGGCCTCACCCAGGGCCAGGGGCAGCTCAGGCTCCAGTGCTTCTGCCAACTTGTGCAGGTTCCACTTACACACCTCAGGCTGTTTGCAGTATGCATAGCGCCCAGCATTGTCAGAAGCATTGCACACGTGGTCGGGGTCATACCTGCCACATAGAGCAAGATCCCAGAGCTGTCAACGGGGGCCTAGAGACAGCAGACCTCTCCAAAGGCCAAAAGCTCTGTCCTGTCCCTCCAAGTGCCCACATGGAAGCCTACACAATTGGCCTCCTTCCAGGTGCAGGTCAGGCTGCCCTCCCCAGCAAGCCTTTTGGATGCTCACAGATCTACATCTGGTCCACTTTCAGCCCAGCAGAGAGGAGACCTGTTCTAAAGCTTTCTTTAGGCCCTCCAGGAGGTTTGTATCCAGGAATGGTTGAGCAGATCCTGACAACTAAAACACTTCCTAAGCACCTATGCCAGCTGTTTCCTGCTTCCTCACCATTGACCTTTGTCCATCTCAGGCCAGTTCCTGGGGGCAGTGGGAGGCTGACCACCCACAGCCCAGGGCACTCACCTGTCCAGAAAGCCGAAGGGCCCGTAGTCAATGGTGAGCCCCACAATGCTCATGTTGTCAGTGTTGAGCACGCCGTGGCAGAAGCCAACACACTGCCACTCGGCCACCATCTGGGCTGTTCGTCTTGTCACCTGGAGCAGTACAGAGGTCCTGTCCACCCCATCTGCACATGCATATCCCATAGTGACCCTCCCCCATCTGTCTTGCTTCTGACGCCAGCAGTGAGTGCCGTCCACATTCCTTGGTGTCAGTGGCCTCCCTCCACTCAGCATTGCAGAAGTAGGTTTGGGTGACTTGGTGCATGCGGATCCTGGCTCCGCGTATGCTGCTTGTGTTCACCCAGAAAAAATTGGGCAACCCAGACTCTGGCTCAGGAGCTGTCGCAGACCGGAAGAGTGCGGTGCACTGCTTTGCCCCAGCCACGTGGCTAGCGGGCGACTTGGCCCAAGGTGCAGCAGCACCTCAGTACGTGATAAGAGATCATGCCCGGCCTGACCCTTTCCGCTTCCCATCCTCATAGAAGGCCCCTGGGCCAAGCTGGCTCCTATCCTGTGCTATGGGTTAATGAATGCCCTGTGACGAGGGGGTGCTGTCCCGACCAGGGGTGCGTGCACGGTATGTGCTGGGGCAGGAGCCATGGCTGATGCGGGTGGAGGTGAATGTGACTCCACCCAGGACAGTCTCCATTTCCCCCAGTCAAGATACCAGGTAGGTGCTCTGGGGTGTGCTGGCCTGGGGCAGTTAATGTGGCGACCCACCCACCAGTGTTTCTGTCCACTCCAGTCCCCTCATGTGCTTCACTGGCCCCCTGGTGATGCTCTGCAATGCCTCTGCACTGCCAAGGCGAAGCACACAGGCAGATGCAGGCCCAAGTGACTACTGGGCAGCAGGCGTAGGCTCTAGCCCCTGGCTGCGGAGGACC